AAATTTGCAAAAAATTGAAAGAAACTTTAGTTGAAGTAAGTGCTTCTCCTTGGGGCCATAGTATGTTTGTAAATTTATGCATAACTGGATTCATAAAGTGCACTAGAACACTGAAATTATCATATGCCTGAACTAGAGTGAATTACTCATAATTTCTTTTTGTTCCCACACATATGACAAATGACAAAAAAAATCCTCAAGATGTCAATATAACATGCCATAAAATTTCTAAGAAGAAAAGCCCGAATTCAGGCTACTGTTTATTCCAAACATGGAAAATCAATATTCAAATAACCCGGAGTTTAGGAAAACAAACAGCGCTAAAATTATGCAAGCAAGCCAAGGCGCAAGTTTTAATCTATTGAACAAGATATAAATATCTTTCAGCATTTAAATCTACACAATTATAACCACAGAAAAAATGCTTTGAGCACACATTATGTCTGACAAGTGTGTGATTGATCTGCAATGAAGCAATTTCTATTTATTTTTTAAATGAGTCATGTCACATGCAGGCTATTCAAGTACATGTATTATAGTTTAAAATTTTTCTCCACTAATATGGGGATAATATTGTGTTATATAGGGAAATAACTCTTGAATCAGCACTGATCACAATAAACTAATATACATTTAATATAATGTTATTAATTAATGCAAGTGAATTTGATGCTATTAGAAGACAGAAATAAAAGAAAATCGAATTTACCTGGTATATCTATTTCAGTTCTTTCATTAAAACATTATTCTGCATGTTTTCTCTGAAAACTATAAACATGCTAATTCAATCACTCTCTAAAATTCACAAAGAAGGAATGTGCGTGAAAAGATATGAAGAGTTGTTTCCCTTTAAATGCATTTTTCATTTAAAAAGAAAAAATATGTCTGTGCTGTCATAAATGTAACATAACCCTGATCTCCAAAACCAATTATGGATATTTCATAAAACTTACATTCGTGTTTCCTCTTTATATTTTCCTATTGTTGAAACTACATAATACTGTCCTTTGAATATACACAAATCCACCCCTGGCTCAAAAAATCACAAAAAAGTGGTTTATTAAAAGAGATTAAGAGTCAATCCTTTCTGAATGTACATCCTGGAACTGGTTAACTTCTGAATGACAAAGAGACTGAAGGTCAGAGGGCTTTAAAGGTATGCCAACAATGGGCTGATGACATAACTCCGAATTAACATTTAAATTCCTAGTATCAGATAAAATCCTCAACTGTCTGTATCCCTGTAACTTCTCAAAGAGGTAAATCATCTGTCATAATCACTTAAAGGTAGAAAGAATTAAAAGAAATCCAGGTGTCCAATGCTTCTCTTCTTGACTAAAAGGTTTATAAAAGTGGGAGTTGTGCAGAAAGAACTCCAGAGAGAGAGAGAGAGAGAGAAAGAATGAAAGAGAGAGAGACCATGGGAAGTCATTATTATGGGGATTAGTTTTGATCATGATGGAGGTACAGGCATGTATTGCATTGAGCAGTGAGGGAAAAGCCAGTACCAAAACTGGGACACAGAACCTCAGTTAATATCATCATCATTGCACTTGATGCATTGGTCTCATCTGAAGGACCGGTATCCACCTCCCACAGTGGGATTCTAACACTTGACGTAATTAAGGATCAACTCCTTACTCTGTGACTTTAGAGCAGCAGACGCTCTAACCACTGCGCCAAGTGGGTGACAAGAAAAAAGTTGCATAGTCCAACCATTTCTTTTTATTTATTAAGTTTTAGACTTAAATTTATAAAGCTGTATACACATATGCATATATATACAATTTATAGAATCTACAAGTATGAATCATTGAGAGATCTAATCCCTCTTTTAGTAAATAGATTCCTCTTCCAGACAAAAATGAACAGGTAACGAAATATTTACCTTCTAATGTTATGAGTTTGATCTTCACACACAATGTGAGAAGAGACTACTGTAACCCGGTATCCGTTTACATTAAAGTTATAACCTAACTCCGATAAATACAGGATAAACCACATCAACTTACATCATAAACGTACTATAAAGAATTATAATCCAAATATATCCCTTCTGTTTTACCACCCTAGCCCTATTAGGAAACCTGAATAAGATGTTATGCTGCTCGTTTGTATGACCGTACCTTACACAGGCTGTTACACATAGACTTTACCTTGGGAAATTTAAGTAGACGCAGCAGTTAGATTTTTTTCTGTGTGTACACATATATTGGCATTTAATATTGACACAATGCAGAATACATAGACATTTTCTCAAGACTTCTTATTTATTCAGCCAGTCTTATCTTCCTCAAAATAGACTTACAAAGAAGAACGTAAGCATTTAAATGGAAAACAGAGCTCTTTAAAATGTAACAGAATTCAGGTATTTGGAAAAGAAAGTAGAGTATCAGCTCTTAAAACCGTAATTCTTCTCTAAATATGACCAGTCTTAAGACAACCCTCTGACCTTTTTACCATTTATTAATGCAAACCTGGCATTGATATGTAAATTCGTCAAAAACTACAGAACTGGGGAATTCCAATGGACTTAAATGTGTGTAATGTGAATGAAAAGGTGACTGAGCAAAACAAAATTAAAAAGTCAAACAACATTACATAAAATTATAAAACTTCTAGGTATATACCCTTATATTAAGGATTTTAAAAATATCTTCATGATCTTGATGAAGGAACTATATTTTAAAATTATATTCAGAAATATTCTAATTCCATGCAAAGTTTCTTCCACTGAAGTCCCTGTTTTTTTTGTTTTGGTTTTTTGTTTTTTCAGGTAAAGTACATATTAGAAATTAAAATTGAAATGTAACTTAATTAATCATGTTTCTGTAAAAAAATATGAAGATCAAAAACAATGTAATTTTAGGAATCTCTCTTATTCATTATAAGTCATGGACAGGTTCAATCTCTGTCTTTTTGTAAACACATACATACCATCAAGAATATACTAGTTAATATTAATATAGCCATGCAGGTATATATTCCCTGAAGACATGTACTTTTTACTTTGCAGAAAAATGATAGAAAGCAAAATACCCCTTCCACTCCACTCATCCCCCAAAAGTTAACTTTTTGTTGGTTGCACAAACAAAATGTCACCAATCAATGTGATTCTCTACTCTACATCGTAACCCTTATTAGCTTCAGCTTTTAAACACATGTTAAACATGTTAAAGGATCTTAAACAGCCATATAAATTAATTTGTTTACCTATGATCAGAGGCGTTTACACAGAATTGTCTAAGTGATCCTTAAACTGGGTAAATGCATACAAAGTAGCAAATCTAAGAATTAAGATGAAGAAATTGATCTCCTAATGCTTTTTTTTATCTCCTGCTATCTGCTACAGCAGAGTCAGGCTTATCTATAAAAGAAATCAATGTTCTTCCCAATGTATCCCACGAATGTGGAAATCTGTGAGATTGAAAGAAGTAAAATACAAGATAAGCCATGGCATAATTACAAGCACATTTAAAGATATTTATTTGAGTGCAAAATATGAAAAAAAATTAAGCTTTTATTTTTAGGTCACAATCATCAAGTGCAACATAATATGTATATATTTTAAGGAGGGAGTTTATAAAAGAAATTAAACACACAGCTTATTAAGTAAGAAAACCTAAGGCCTACTCATCATGAACCAATTCACTGCATATATATGCACCACTTTAAAAGTTGAGATGTTAACTTAAAATATGGACCTGGTCCTATAATCATCACTAGCTCACAACAGTGTTCACACTGCACAACACTTAGAAAACTGATATTTAATTTATTTCTCTAAAATCTACTACCTTTTCTACTTTTCCATATAAAATTATCTCATTTTAGTAAATTTACTTCTTGTCCATGTTGTCAGTTTTTATTCATGATTTCTGGGCTATATCTAAGTTTCTACTTGTAGACAGTATTGCAACATTGCAAAAAAGGAGAATTCAAATGCATTTCTTCATTAGATAGAAGCAACAATGCTACACACAAATTTTCTGTGAATGTACATTCTCATCATTTGAAAGCAATGAGAATTTAACCAGTTAACAGCTGTAATTGTATAGATCCAGTTGACTGATTCTACTTTGTTATTTGATTTAATAAATACTGGACAAGTTGAAAAGTCATTTGTTTATCATAACCATACCTTGTTTGGTTTATATTTTGTAATTTCTTTAAAATTTTCAGCATGATAAATAGCCTGCAAAAATTTGTGCACATCAGTCAATTTATTAATTGCACCTTTCGCCTATTTATATTATCCTATGGCATATTAGCATAATTTTTATTAAGTTTTGAATAATACACTAAATAAAGACAAATTTCTCCTTTGTGTTCATGAAATTTCAGGCCTATACCAAGAATTGGTAAGGGGACTAGAAGTGGGCGAAAGGGGGGGGGGTCATATCATGTTGGAGCAGAGGACTCCTTATTAGATTTCACTATGAAACACCTTACGCCCCTTAATTCATTTAGAGGGTTTTATTGGAAAATTTAAAATATTTCACAAACTTAACAGCAAACTTCACAAAAATATTACTTTGAGAATACGTGAACATGGATTGTGAACCCCATTTTTTTTTTCTTAATCAATATTTTTAAGTAAACAACTTCTTTTCTTTAAATAAAAATAAAATTGATGTCTTAAATTCTTTACAGATTCACGAATGACTATGATCACTAGTTGTAGCACTGAGTTATTGAGTATACTGTACAATACTCACCTGTTCGCACCTTAGCCTTCAGGATTGATTAGCTTCGCAACAATTTGCTGGTGCCCGCTTCTCGTTTTTACCTTTGCGAACCAGTAAATGTTGTTAACGTGTTCGTTAATTTGATGCAAATCATATGCTGAAACTCAGTAAATAAATATAAATATAGTTTGAAAAAAAGATTATATATTAAATTTGGGTCACGAAATTATATAAAAATTAGAGGGCATGGGCGTGTAATGGCATATCATAATGTTTACGAATCATCTCATGTTCGTATTACCAAAAGTTAAACTGGTCGTCATGAAAGTGAAACCAATTTTGGACTGTATCAATCAGGAGTGATTTACGCTGCCAAAGATCTGATTATCTCCGATTTCATCATTTCACATTAGATAAGAGATATTTTGGTCGTGTAATTTGGAAGTGACGATAGCCTCGCTGTTATTGTAGAATGTTTAAGGACGTACACCATCTCTGTTTCCGTTTGTGGTAGCAAGGAAAAATGGCAGGTCAAACTTCACGAGAATTTGTTAGTGTTCTTATTCCAAGGAAAATAGATTCAAGAATTTTACTCACAAATCTAGACGGCAAGGGATTATGGATGCCAACAGCATTTCGACATGATGTAGAAACCTTTCAGAGTGTCGCAAATAAATTAATAACAGAGGTATATTATTTCCTTTGGCTTTTCATGTCAAGACATCCATTTATTTTGTATATTGTAGATATTCAATGTATTGTAGTCAAGTTTGAACTTTATTTCATGAGTGGGATAGGATGTATAAAAAATTATTTTCAGAAACGTGAAGCATGGGTGAAAATATATATTTTAAAAATCCTGATTCATATTTTAAAGAATAAATTGCATATCCAACTAGGCCTACAAAATATTGAATTTTCTGATTTATTTTTCACTTTCTTTTTGTCTCTTCCTTTTCGTATTGGAATAGTTGATCAATGTAGATGTCATAGCTAGTGACAATGAGAATACAAACATTTTAATATGGATTTCAACATCCCCCTTATATAACTGGTACCATTAAACATTATTATGCTTTCTGTCAGTTTGTCTCTATATAACCCATACCCTACTATTCTCGCATAGTGGTCTAAGGATTTATATAGCGTAAGCATACTATGCCGAAATGTGTGCACGACCTTGTTTTCTGTAAAATTCTTCAATGCACACACCGGAAAATGTGAGAACACAACCATGAGGTTGCCAGAAAAATGCCTTATCGATTACGCCACAGAGACGATCACTGATTGGGAGAATTTTATTAAATATATAAACTTAATTTATACAATTGACACAAGAAGGAGAAAATAGACAAATATTATTTGAAAACAGTTATATTTATTCTAAGGAATCTTATATAAATGTGTACAACAAAGTTTCAAACTAATTACATACAGATCGTTTGATGAATTGATATCATGGGGTCATTAAAACGCTTTTTATATAGCGCTTGATTGAAGGATGTAAAAGAGAATTATCAATATGAATCCACGTCTGTAAACAAATCAGTCTTACTAACAAAACAGACAAATAAAGATGAGATCTTTGGGACAGAAAATCCTGACTTATTTAGAGAAAATACTAGTAACCAAAATAACTATTAAGCATGCAACTGATTTTAACATGGAGATTTTGAATGAGTTTTTGCAAGTGCGCTGTTACCACCATTATTTTCAGGAAAAAATCAAATGGATTGCCGCATAAATAATAACAACAGTCAGCATAATAATAACAATAGTGTTGCATTATGCATTTTTTATGCCTAATAAATTATTTTATAAAGGCAGGGTTTGACACATAGTGCACTCGCCTCCAGAAAGCTATACGTTAACCATGTGTGGCATCCTTTAAAAGTGGGGGGGGGGTTAGGCATAGTACATGCATAATGCAACACTATTATATAAGTATCATTCCCAATGCCAAAAAATGCCAAATTTTCCCAACTATAAGCCTAAAAATTCCCAATTCAACCGCCAATGGATCAAACTATGATGACATCATATTTTTTTCATATGAAAAAATGTATAAGTTGATGAAAAGTTTCAAGTCCTCTAAAAGTCAAATTAAAAGTTGAGATCAGTCATATTAAATATGGTTGGGTATGTGTTGTAGACAGCCTAGTGTTGTAAATTTTTGACAAAATAGAAGCCTGAAAATGTGAGAACAAGGGACACAAATATGAGAAAAATGAATACTTATTGTTTATATTCTTTGAAACTTGGATAAATAGGTAATGAAGTTAGAAAAAGCACAACATAAGTATTATTTGTTGAATCGGATATAACAGAAAATTTTATGTTCTATTTTGACACTTTTTCCCAACTAAAGCAGTATCCGACCCAGGTAGAACAAAAACTGCTGTATTTTGAGAGCTAGAGTTCATTAACTGAGACTCTCAGAATTGTTTGTTTACTCTATCTTATAACAAGTCCTGTCCATGTTTCCTAAGGGAAGGAAATGAAATTTTTGCTACACTTCTTTTATCTTTCATACCGTGTACTTATGAAATGAAATCATTCTAGACATTGTTAATGATTTTGAATGTTAAGATCCTAGAGGAGTTGGAATTGTCAGATGTTTGACCATTGTATAATTTTAGATATTTGCTTATCATTAGGTGACAGGCCAGGATCTAGGGCCATGTAAAGGGATCATCAGGATGATTTTCTACCACTTCAGCTCTAGCCCCGCTGCCACACACATTGTGTTCCTGACACAGCCTGTGGAGGACTGCGACACGGTAAACAAAACATCAAAAAAACTTATAGCTCTTTACACTGAGGACTGCAGCACGGTAAAAAAAGCATTGAAAACTTATAGATAGTAACACAGAGGACTGTGACATGGTAAACAAAACATCCAAAACTTATAGCATTTAACATTGTCTCTACAAAAATCTCATCCCTTGATGAAAACTATAATGAGTAGCATGTTGAAACAAACAAGGTACATATCAAGAGGAGCAAATATCAAAATACCAACACTCTTTTAAAAATGAACTTATTATATGTTTATCATTTTCTTATCATGGTTATGATGAGGAAGAAACATTCAAAATTAAGTTGATTTTATTCTGATACATGTATATGTAAAACACAATTTTCATCAATAAAAATATATCATTGAAAAAATAGGTTTTGATGATTTTAAAAGTGTTCTCAAAATAGCCACAGGTATTTCAATGAATTCTTTTGTATGAGATAATGTTGTTACCTTTGATTTTGTTGTAGTGTTCTGATGAGGCTGTTTGGTGTAATGTGGAAGAAATGGAACAACAAACTCATGCAGATCCAGGGCTGCTAGGACTGGAGCCAATCAACCTGGCTAAACATCTCAATAACAGTGAGTACCTGAGCTTAGTGAAAATTGTACTCCGCAGGTGGCTAAATTATTGTATCAACCTTAATATTGCATAATCATGATAATGTTATTTTTATTGACAATAAAAAATGATGATGTTAACATTAATAAATTATTAAATGCATCATTTTAATTTATTCATTTTTCTTCAGCATCCTTGACAATGAATGTATTAAGTGAGATGAGAGTGGAATACATTGACACAGACAAAGAAGATACATCACAGCTCTCGGCCCAGGAGGCCGTCATCAAGTCGGCCAAACTCGGCAAGAAAGGTTAGTAATGTCATAAAGATGACATACTTACACTATCACTAATATAAGTCAAAGAGGAATTTATAAAAACTGGATAAGATAAGAAGTGAAAGTTAATGATTCCGAATTCCTTAATGGTCACTTCTAAATCTGATTTATTGGATTTAATGTAGTACATTGCTATCTTTATATTATTGGATTCAATGTAGTACATTGCTATCTTTATATTATTGGATTTAATGAAGTACATTGCTATCTTTATATTATTGGATTTAATGTAGTACATTGCTATCTTTATATTATTGGATTCAATGTAGTACATTGCTATCTTTATATTATAGGATTTAATGTAGTACATTGCTATCTTTATATTATTGGATTTAATGTAATACATTGCCATGTTTATATTATTTTTTAAAGAGCAAGACCTTCTGTATCAGGAGTTCATGGATTGGTGTTTACCCTGCTCTATGATGAACAAAACTGTCTTCAAGGAGTACATTGTACACAAGGGGGCAAAGGAAGAGCAGGTGGAGGCCCTGTTCAGGTAAAAACAGTACATCAATTCACTGTACACTTGGGGATAGAAATGGGTCAAGGAAACACCCTGTAGGGGACAAAAAAAAGATTGGGTAGATGGCCATGTTTAAGTAAGAATCGACCTGTTGAGGATAAAGATAGTATCAAGTACATGTACAGGTATATGCCATTTTTAAGGACAAAAGAAAATTAAAAAGATGTCCTGTTCATGTTGCTGATTGTGCTCAAAGGTGCAGTAGAGGAATGTGCCCTGTTTAGATAAAAAAGCAAAGTATTATTACATTATGATAGGGGCAAAACGAGTCAAATTCAATCCTCAGTAGTTGTAGGGCTTTTGATATTCATAAGAAGAGGATTTTTACATTTACTAATGTTTGAAATGACTTCGTTCTTGGCTAATTTTAGGGCTTTTAATATGCATAAAAAGAGGTATCTACATTTTCGAATGTTTGAATCACCTCAAGGGTATTACAAATGTAAACAAAACTTAAACATATGTAAGGCGCGCATACTTCATTCCAATTTTAGGGCCTTTACTATGCATAAGAAGAGGTTTATACAATTTCGAATGTTTCAAATTACTTCATTCCTGGCTAATTTTAGGGCCTTTGATATGACTTCTCGCTAATTTTAGGGCCTTTGATATGACTTCTCGCTAATTTTAGGGCCTTTGATATGACTTTATTCCTGGTTAATTTTAGGGCCTTTGATATGACTTTATTCCTGGCTAATTTTAGGGCAATTGATATGACATCATTCCTGGCTAATTTTAGGGCCTTTAATATGACTTTATTCCTGGCTAATTTTAGGGCCTTTGATATGACTTTATTCCTGGCTAATTTTAGGGCCTTTGATATGACTTTATTCCTGGCTAATTTTAGGGCCTTTGATATGCATAAGAAGAGGATTCTACAGTTTAAGGATGTCCTAGTTGGCCTGGCAGCCCTTGAGCCCTCCACACAACATGGCGGAATGCCAGCAGAAATGAGATGTAGATATATCTTCAGGTTCTATGATCACAACGTTGATGGCTTCCTGCAGTTTGAAGAATTTAAGTAAGATGATGGTTGTCTGATTAGGTTTCAAAGTCTCAAGAGTTGGGATTATCTAAAATTTGGTTTTATGGCTTGTTGGTAGAGCAATTATTTCCTACCTAAGTCTTTAAAAGCCTGTGATTGATAGTCTTACTGATCATTCAAACAATGGCCTGATTTGGAGAAAAAATGGACATGAGTAGTTAGTAGTAACAGGTTCTCCTATTCTCTTCTCTAGATGTATGGTTAGGGACATACGTAAAATCAAAGGTCTGTCTCTGGATGATGAAGCAGTCAATGAAGATGCTCAGAAAAGTGCCAAGTGAGTTTTCTAACCAATAATATCTCAACAAAGAAGGAAGTTAAAATATAAGAAAAAGAGTCTAATATTAATGAATAATTTAATTTTAGTTGTAACATCTCATTTGATTGAATAAAAGATTTATTTTATATTGTATAACATAAGTTGCCTGTGTCACAATGATTTATGCCTAAAACATATTAATCCTGTTTGCATTACTTTTAAAATATTTTCCATTTGAAGCCATTTTAGGAGGATAAATTGTTTTATTGTCTACACTGAAATTAAATTATTTCTAAATGATATGAAATTCTTTCTATGTACAGGTTGTTTGGAAATGAGACAAAGAATAAGCTCCCTTTAGGAGAATTTCTGACAGCTGTGGGACAGCTGAAGTTCCGAGGGACATCTGTACTGTTCAGATTACCCCAGTCCTGTGTGTCAGGGCTTAAAGGGTATGTATTGTGTGTACAAATGGTGATCTCTTGTAATAAGTATTGTATCTGATGGGTAAAAGTATAGATATAAAGTTAAACTTTTGAATGATAAAGTGTGTCATGTACAATATAGATTGTGTCAGTCCCAGTTTATATGTCAAATAGTGAATTTATATGTGTATAAAAAAGAGTGCTGCACTATGAAGTAACAAGGTTAAACTGCACTTTTAATTAACAAGGTTTACCATGTGAAACCTACAAATTTGAGCTTTAATTTCAATATTTTGAATTCTGTCAGAGTACTTTAGTATGACACTGATCTTAGTACCTGATTGTAGGAATGAGAACCACTTAAATCACACGGGGGAGACAATGGAACCACCCTTAAAGAGATGCCGCCCCAAACTTCTGGATTCTGTCAAATCATCCCCACCAAGAAAGTTAAATGCTACAGGTAAAAAGCTCAGATTAAAACAAGTGACTTAAAAACTAGAAAACGGTATCTATTCCCTTCTTTTAGTATTGTTTTAGAGAAAACAAGAGAGTCGAAACTTTTATCACAAAGAGACATACACTGTACGTGTTTCATGCATTCATATCACAGATGTAAGCAGACTACATTGACATTTTTTGACAGATACAGAAATGGACGTGTTCAAGCTTCCAGAAGGTCGTCCATTATCTGCGGGGAGATTTATGCACCAGATCCGATATGAACTTGCCACACACACAGTTAAAGTACGGCGGACAGGGGTCTTATCTGATGTCGTCAAACTCTGGGATTTACAAGGTACAGACAGAATCTATTTGTGTATTGAATGTCCTGTATTTTTAATTCTGATGAGTGTTTGTTGTTTATAGGGACAGAATCTATGTGTGTATCAAATGTCCTGTATTTTTATTTCTGATCAGTGTTTGTTGTTTAGGGATAGAATAACTAAGTGTAGAGAGAGAATGTCCTGTATTTTTATTTCTGATGAGTGTTTGTTGTTTAGGGACCCCCGCTGTGACAGAGAGTGCAGCCTGTCATTTAGAGGGAGACATTTCACGATTTCAGAGGATGCCGTCAATAGACTCATTTAATGCTGTAAGTGTATTCCAAAACGAAGACGGCTTTGAAAAGAAAACCTTATAACAAAATTTGCAAACAAGATAGTTAGGCCTACTTCTAATTCATTAAGATGAATTTCTATAATATTGTGCCCCCCTTCCAAGAAGATTAATCATAAGCATATCTAGGTCAAGTTCTGTGTTGGTTATGATTGGCAATTTTTGAAAGAGTTATGTCCCTTGGACTTAGAAAAATTCCAATTATTTTTCAGTTTACGTTCATTTTCTTTGCTAAGGTTGAACATACTGAAATGAAATTTGATATACAGATTTATCATAAGAATATCTAGGTCAAAATTTGTTTTGGGTACGATCAAGTTATTTTGAACAGAGTTATGCCCCTTAAATTTAGGAAAAATTCATTTATTGGGGGGGGGGGGGATAAGTGTTTCACAAACGTCTCGTTTTCTTGAATTACTGATACATCTTGTTTTTATTTAACAGAGATCTCATCCCAATGAAATGTTGACCGGTCTGAGATATTTTGAGAGGGCGATCAAGGGAGATAATGGAGGACCAACAAAGGTTAATAGTGATACACTGTACAGACAATTATCAAGTTGCTTACTGTCCTTTCAGATACAATTTTCAAGACTTCTTATTCTTGTACATGAACTTACATTGATTGTTCATGTCTTATTTGCAGCCAGGATTTGACTGGGGACAAGTGGACACTAATGCCCTCGCTAAATGTCTGTTGACCTTGTGTCGTGAACTTAAGGACTCCTTGTGTCTGGAACCACGATTAGTAAAGCTGAAATCCCCTGTCTACATTCTCGGTAAAATTTACTTTTATATTTACAGCAAAACTTGGTTATAACAAAGTCGTAGCGACCAGTGAAATTACTTCTCTATATCCGTAATTCGTTATTTCCGTATAAATATCCATTAACATTACAGCCTACTCCAGATATATTGAAATTCAGGGGACCATGCAAATTATTTCAATATAACCGTAATTCAATATAAGCGAAATCGTGACGTCGCCATTTTTTAAGTTCAATCCCGATATAAGATAAAGAAGAACAAACCCGAACAAATTAATTTTGTCAGCGTTTATATTTAACAGTAAACAGATTACATAGAATATAAGTCCTTGAAAGTTTAAATAAAATTATTTCTTTCTGTTACATTCAAAAGACAATCTTCACCCTCGTTATTATTCCACGATCGCTTTTATTTACATTTTGAAGAAAAATCACAGGACTTAAACGGTTGAGTACTGTCGAACTCTGCTTGATTCCATCGTAAGTGTGCTCAGGTTAATCCCTCAGCTATTTCGAATTTAGACTTATCAATAGCCATTAACGTTTAATTTCAAAGTTAAGGTTTCTTTTCTAGATCTGTGAGGGTTACTATATTACATTTAGCATCAATTTCTCAATATTATGTACGTGGAAACATAGAATTTAACAGTGAATAAGTTTATTTCGTAAGAGCATGCAGTATAAAAACACATAAGGTGAAAATTTAATTATTCACACCTTTTATATCAACTGGTTATTCATGCATAATTTCTGTCGCCAACTTAAACAACAGCCGCCAAGGAGTACTTCAATATAACCGTTATTAAAACAACTCATTATCACTTGTGGGGACCGATCAGTGGCTTCAATATAAGCGATATTTCAATATAGCCAATTTCAGTATAACCGTTATTTTAATGCAAAGAATATAAGAGGCAAAAACTGGGGATTTATTTTCATTTCAAAATAAGCGGAATTTCAAAATAAGCGAGTTCAATATAAGTGGAGTAAACTGTATATAGCTGGGGATTCAAGATAACTTCACTATATCCATAAATTCGCAATATCTGTGTTCGTACTAAACGAGTTTTACTGTACACTTTTTTTTTGTTTTGCAACAAGTCATTAATTGAAATTACATGTATATGAAGAATGTAATGAAAGGTTTTAGAATATTTCAGCCATCTGATATAAATTGTGTATTGATCACTTTGTATATCTTAATTTGGCAAAAAATTTCTCAGCGTTGGAAATAAATGCTGAAAGGATACTTGTATTTCTATCTTACTGACAGCAGACATTTATTGTTTTGGGCATGTACAAAAAACAAGAGCAAAATCTCTACAGAATGCAATTAATCACAGTGACTTTTTATTAAGTACTTTATGGTACAGTAAAACTCGTTTAGTACGAACACGGATATTGCGAATTCATGGATATAGCGAAGTTTTTAATTCTTAACAAATCTTTGTAAGATTTTACGGTTATAACGAACTCTGATATAACGAGATTACGGATATAGTGAACTGAATTTGAGTTCCGTTGAGGTTAAGTGTAATGAAATTTACATCTTTTATAACGAACTTTTTAAGATACTAAAATTTAATAAATTGAACTGACCTTATTTCTTTTAGCATTTGTATATAAAATTCCATTCACAATAAAACCTTGGTTATCGAAGGTTATATTTTGTAATTTTTGCTTCCTTAACATATTTGGTAGTAATACTGGAAGGAAAACATGCATATTGCGAATTCGCGATATATGATTATACGAATTCGTTATACGGATATAACGAATTACGGATATAGCAAATTAAATTCACAGGTCCCCAGGACTTCGCTATAACCGAGTTTTACTGTATTTTATATAAAAAATGCAATCATAATTTGCACAAAATTGTAAAACCAACTTTTATTCACATTCGAGAAATATCCCTGTGTTTCGTGACCTTTATCTTGCGAATATTCATCACTGCAAACCAATTTTTTTTTGCTTTGTATTTGAGAAGAGTCCCAAAAATTAACTGTTGTGGATTGAGTTCAAATTGACTAATCGTGAATAAAATATGACTCAAATAATAGTTAGTTTACAGTATTTTCCAGGTTACAATGGGCAGCTTTAACCTGTTGATATACTTGTGTTTGTAGGAGATATCCACGGGAACTACAGGGACTTGGTGTGTTTTGAGAAAGCGTTATGGAGGATGGGACCTCTGTTAACCCCAGCCTCCTTCCTGTTTCTGGGGGACTACGTGGACCGAGGGGAGTATGGAGTAGAGGTGAGATCAGAAGCAGCAATCAATACATGTACTCTAGTTCTCTCATGAATATTTTAAGCTTTTAAAAATTCATTCAGGTGGGGTTAAAGATGAATGATATAAACTGTCAAAGTTCATTTTTAGAACCCTAATGTTCTTTATAATATTAACTCAGACTTGTATGATAACTACTAACACCTTTTCTATTATCTAGGTCATTTCCTATTTGTTTGCCCAAAAGATGCTTGCCCAGAACAAATTTTATCTCCTGAGAGGAAACCACGAGCTCAGATCTGTTCAGGAAATGTTCTCATTTAAAAAGTGAGTTCTAACTCTCTAGGTCATACTTCTCTTTAAGTTAATAAGTTCATAAAGCTGCTTGTAGTTAAGATAAGTTGCCAATGCTGCTTATATTTACAACAAGTGTCGATAAATCTGTTTATAGTTACAATAAATGAATAAAACATTATTGGCTACATTATGTGTATAAATCTTTATGTCTTTGTTACACGGAGTGTAAAAATTTTCTCCTGGTTACGGTGGGTTATCATTCTGTTCCAGGCTCTGTGATTTAATATTAAAAGTGTATAATTTTGTTCTTGGTTACACGGACTATTTATCTGTTCTGTATTGTTACAATGAGTGTATTATTCTAAGTAGTATACATAAAGTCTATTCTTTGTTACAGTGAGTGTGTACAGAAGTTTGGGGAGTCAGTAGGAATTCAGGTGTGGGAGGCGGTCAATGACTGTTTTGATGCCATGCCAATAGCAGCTACTGTCGATGATAAGGTAAATTTTAAGTCTTAGATACTTAGGAATTGTGATGTTGTATATTTTGGTAATGGGTTACACATTCTTAGATATACCCTTGCCAATTGGTCAGTTTTCTAGTCACCTGCTTTTGGAAGATTTTAAGAAAATTGTAGTTTTATCATGTTTATTGTTCATTACATTATGACCTTTGTTTGTTCTAGGTGTTCTGTGTTCACGGAGGGATACCCTGTTCTGACATTAATATTGAGAACATAAACAAAATTCCTGTACCTCTGAAGGATCCAGAAATAGAAAGTCCCCTAGCCTGGGAGATCATGTGGAGTGACCCTGTCAGGTGAGTTTATAGAGTCCCCTGGCCTGGGAGATCATGTGGAGTGATCCTATCAGGTGAGTTTATAGAGTCCCCTGGCCTGGATCATGTGGAGTGATCCTGTCAGGTGAGTTTATAGAGTGTTGACTGGCCTGGGAGATCATGTGGAGTGACCCTGTCAGGTGAGTCAGGTACTGAGTCCCCTGGCCTGGGAGATCATGTGGAGTGATCCTGTCAGGTGAGTTTATAGATCTTGGCCTGGGAGATCATGTGGAGTGACCCTGTCAGGTGAGTTCATAGAGTCCCCTGGCCTGGGTGATCATGTGGAGTGACCCTGTCAGGTGAGTTTATAGAGTCTCCTGGCCTGGGTGATCATGTGGAGTGACCCTGTCAGGTGAGTTTATGCATTTTGGGCCTGGGAGATCATGAGGAGTGATCCTGTCAGGTGAGTTTATAGAGTCCCCTGGCCTGGGAGATCATGTGGAGTGATCCTGTCAGGTGAGTTTATAGAGTCCCCTGACCTGGGAGATCATGTGGAGTGACCCTGTCAGGTGAGTTTATAGAGTCCCCTGGCCTGGGAGATCATGTGGAGTGATCCTGTCAGGTGAGTTTATAGAGTCCCCTGGCCTGGGAGATCATGTGGAGTGATCCTGTTAGGTGAGTTTATAGAGTCCCTTGGCCTGGGAGATCATGTGGAGTGACCCTGTCAGGTGAGTTTATAGAGTCCCCTGGCCTGGGAGAACATGTGGAGTGACCCTGTCAGGTGAGTTTATAGAGTCCCCTGACCTGGGAGATCATGTGGAGTGATCCTATCAGGTGAGTTTATAGAGTCCCCTGGCCTGGGAGCTCATGTGGAGTGACCCTGTCAGGTGAGTTTATAGAGTCCCCTAACCTGGGAGATTATATGGAGTACCCTGGAGTGACCCTGTCAGTGGAGTGAGTCATTGAGTTTATAGAGTCCCCTGACCTGGGAGATCATGTGGAGTGATCCTGTCAGGTGAGTTTATAGAGTCCCCTGACCTGGGAGATTATATGGAGTGACCCTGTCAGGTGAGTTTATAGAAAGTCCCCTGGCCTGGGAGATCATGTGGAGTGACCCTGTCAGGTGAGTTCAAGTCCCCTGACCTGGGAGATTATATGGAGTGACTCAGTCAGGTAAATAGAGTCCCCTGACCTGGTAGACCATATGGAGTGACTTAGTCAGGTGAGTTCAAGTCTCCTAGTCTGGGGGTCATATTGATTAACCAAGTCAGGTGAGTTGAAGTCCACTGACGTGGTAGATCATGTGGAGTGACCTTGGCTTGTCAGGTGAGTTGGTGTAGATTGTGTGACCTCCAGTGGAAAAGTTGTTAGGTGGTTGGATCAAGTCAAAGAAAACTGACATCTACACTGTACATGTATAGAGTTTCAATGTGCATTTTGTTGCAGTGAAATATAATGATATTCCTCTTTATTTCTTGAAATAAAAATATTTACTGTCTTGATCATTTGATTCCGTTTCTGTGTAGAAATAAATTTATATTTCATGTTAATGTACATGTACATTGTAGCATGGATTTGATGACTCCAGATAACATCAAGGATTTAAATGAGCACAATGGATTTATTTACAACACAAGGCGAGGAACAGCTTATTTCTTCAGCTGTGAGGCCTTAATGTCTTTTCTGGATAAAAATGGCTTGTCTCATGTGATAAGAGCTCATGAAGTGCAGGAAAATGGCTTTCAGGTATGTAAAATGTATCTAACAGATGTGGGTGCAGTGTTGTCCCTTGAGAATCGTTTATATAGTTTAAGAGTACAGCTACATTGCATTGTCCTTATCTTTTGTGCTGGACCTAGTGTTCAATAAGAATATTTTTTTCTAATTTTGAAAAAAGGTCCAGCAGCAGGGTAGACTGATGACTGTGTTCTCCTCTTCTCATTATTGTGGTGGATCTAATGAGGCGGCCTGTGTGCTGGCAGACAATTATAAGCTAAGGATGATCAGGATAGACACCACATGACAATCTCCCAGAATTCCCTGTGACTTACAATCCCAGCATTCATTGTGCATCAAGTCCCTGATCTCAGATTAGCAGGCAGCTGTAGAAACATTTGAAGAGAGACGAAAAGAGGCAGGAACATAGCCGACTCAACATGGCCGACTGAACATGGCAGTGTGTTTTTTATTTACCCTTGTGATAACTGGGCTTCACATTCCTCTGTGTCATTTCACTGTAAACTGGTATTACATGTCTGTATATGTTTTGAAGTGATTGTACAATTTGATTGTACTTTGATTCTTTATTAAATAAATGTGTAATCAGACTGTTAAGTTTTAATGCTTGTAAAAATTATTTTTATTTAATTGATCAATGTATTTAAATCTATTTTATGAACATTTTTATATGTTAAAAGGTACAGACAGAGTTGTACATAATACAGATTGTTAAATAATTAAATATTTTGTGATGGAAAGATTTTCAAGTGATGACCAAATGGAGAAAACTAGTCCTACTTGAAAAATGAATTATATTTTATTTTAATTGGAAACAGAACACAGTGGTACTGGTTCAGGTACACAAATATTGATCAATATGATGACTGCGTTTACCAACAAATTGATGAGATTAAGAAATGGAATAATTTTCATTTTGTTCAACCTGCTGTATTGTGGATTCAATTTTGAAGTTCTGAAAAGCATGCCCTATAGTAGTGTTGCTTTTTCGTGTAAGACAATTTTTTGTTTATTTCTTTTTCATTTATAAATCATTACAAATAGAAAAGATTTAATTTGGTAAATACAGTGTATGTTCAAAACACTTTTTTTCATCTTTGAAAGAGAAGACCTATCAACACTGCAACACTACACTACAACTAAATTGCATATTTGTCTACACTAACTATTAAAACCATTACAATTCAACTACAGTTAATTCTCGATAAACTGCCACCTTTTGTAATTTAGAAATCATGGCGGTATAACGAATTTGGCGATGAATTGAACTTCCCATCTTTTAGAAAATAAGAAGTAGAGTTATCGTTCCTAGAAATACCATTTAGCGTTTCTATTCTTATTATACATGTACATGTATATAAAAACATATTTCTGATTGAAAATACTTCAAGTAATTTTTTTAATGTACAATTTCACTAAAACAAAATGTGCAGTTATGAAATAAAGACAAATATTTGTATATGAATGTAAATCTGCATGTCCGATACTGAAAAAAAAACATACTGGGCCGATCGTCGTTATATATTGCCGATAATAAGTAAAATGGATCCTTAAATATGTTCATTGTTTATGGTATCATTGTTGATGGAACGTTCACAATTTATAACGTATAATTATTTTTTCCAGCAAACTTTGCACTGTTTAAAGCAGAGATCATCAAAATAGTATCGTTATCGGCGTACTTTAACAACGACCGCTTTCGTGGCGAAGCCGTGACTAAATGGTTATATTAAACAGAAAACAAAATTATTATAACAGTTCATGTTAAAATTATTGTTTATTTATTTGTTGTTTAATTACTTAATTGCATGTACCTTGTCTGCGTTTGCATGCTTTACAACAGGGATAGCGTCAACCAATTAGCCGCGCTTCACTGACCACATGCACCTGTGGCGGTATATCGAGATAAATGACACTTAAAAATGGACGTTTGTTGTGAAAACAGGGTGGCGGATGGCGGTATGCGAATTTGGCGTTATAAAGAGAATTTAAATTTATACAGCAGGAAAAACGTTCTTGGGAAATCATGGCGGTATTGCGAAAATGGCAATGAATCGAATGGCGATAATTCGAGAATTGACTGTACATTTCTACAACATAACATCTTCACTGCACTATTAAAACTACAACACAGCTACATTTACATTTTACTACAACTGCATTAGAGAAAAACTACATTCCACTATAACTGCACTACAGTACAACTACATTACAACTTCATAACAACTAAATAACATCACAACTACATTACACTTCACGACATATACTACAAGTACATTACACTACAACTTCTGTATAAATACAAGTACTTTACATTACAACAGTACTGCACTACACTACAACTTCACAGCACTACAACTACATTTCAACTACAACATCATTACACTGTAACTACTTTGCACTACAACTTTTTTTTCACTAGAACTCCTTTAACAAAGAGGATTGTTTTGAATTTAATTTTTATGTTTATATATTGTCTAAACACTCCTTTTCCTGTTCTTTATTTTAAATTATTTGTCAATTAGTCAGTTACTCATATTTTGACAAATAAGCCTTGATTTATTACTGTACGTGTAAAATAACTGTCCAATCCATATATTTTTCTTTCCTTGGTCCAAGCTTGTTGAAGTTTCCTTAATAAAAGAGTTCCCAGGGGTAAAAAGTGACCTAATTTCTAGGTCAGAGATCAAGGTCAAAACTGATCTTTTTATGAATCCCTCATCTTCTTGTGATTATTTTAAGCTTTTATTCTCAGACTGGTGGCCATTACTTCATTAAATTGTTGTTAAATATTTTTTCTCTACATAAAGAAAATATGAGTAGTAATTTTTTAGTTTTATTACAAAATGAAAAGGAAAAAAAACATTCCTCTCAAATCTTATTCCATTTACATTGGCTTAAAAAAGAGCTGGACAATGTGTCATTGATATCTAGTTTGTATGTCATGTATAAATTTATAAGAAGGTATTGTATCAGTTAATACGTATATCTTATGAGTGTTTTATGCTATTTTTTTTATAACTAAACTTTCAGTTTCATCACAAATGAAATTAGAAATAAAATTTAATTGGTAATGGTCCGACAAAATGCTTCTTATTTGTATGTTCAATTATTTTTACATTGCATAATGTTATTGGATAATACTTGTCTGAATTCATTATAAAAATTTGTCATTTTCTTATGTAGTTGTGTTTTGTATGGCTGCTAATCAGTGAGAAGATTGGTTTTAAGTTATTTAATTTACTAAACCAACTATTCAACAACCTGGGATTACAGCTCAATTTATTTAAACTAAACTACTCTTGTGAAATCATTACTTACTTACTTACTTAGGCCTCTTCATGCCAGGTGGCACATAAGGCAGCCACACAGTTCCTTCACCCAGTCCTATCCTTTGCTTTTCTTTCTACTTCTTTCCACGTAAGCCCACAGACACACACACAGAGAAACGTAAAATCATTACCTTGTCAGTAACTTATTAGATGTGTGGGCAGACATTTCTCCAGTGGAGTGTTTTAAGCTTAGTCCATTAGTTTACAATGTCATGCTGTAGGTAAGTCTCATTTGACTACACTGTATATGCTGAATACAATGTACTGTACCTTAGTCTGACTGAAGTCTATGACATGGATTAATGATGTCTTCATCTTGTGGAAGTCCAACACTGACCAGTTGTAGAAAATTTATCTGTATTGATTGAAATTGATTGAGAGTTTCTATAATTTAACTGCTGGAAGAAGAGTCCAAGTCCTGCTTGATCCGGGACAAATTTGTCTCCCAGATATCCAGTTAGTAAATAAATATCTTACACATCTTGAATTCTTTGTGAAATAATCAAATGTATGAGACATAAGACGATTAAGATCTTCAAGAACTTTTGGTCACTGACTTTATATTTAGCTACGGAGTTGGAAATGGTGAGCTGTTGTATGAGTTAAAGTCCTTGTGCACCAGCTTTATGATTTGGCATGAAGATCCATGTGCGAGAGCTTCATGACTTACACTACCATGTTGCAGTTCATAATAAGATTTTATAATTTTAAACATCTTTCAGCATCTTTAAGGATTTTGATGCAAGTTGGTCAAAACTTTGGACACCATAATAAAAGAATTTCCTCTTTCTTTTTCTCTTAAAACAGGCCTGCGGGAAGTTTTGTCACATTTATTATTTTCAATCTGTGACAAAATATCATTTTTATTCAAAATATGTATAAACAACAGCTTTTCAAAGGTGAAAATATATTAAAATAGTGCAGCATTTTTCACAATTATCCAAGGAAGATAATTCAATTTTAAAGTGAATGTCTGTGATTTTAATCCAAGATTTCTCATATTTATAGTTACACTGTACTTTAAAGTCAATATATTATCTCAATAAGACCAGCAGGAAACCCAGATATTCAAAAGGAAAACGTACCGTAGCTGGGGCATTATTTTCTCCTAGCGGATTCTTGAAATGGCTTGTGTGATGTAAAGAGATTTTTAACATTACTGATACACAAATCTATGATATTGCTCACTACATGTCTTATGATGTCTTTGCACCAAAGTTTCAGTGAATTTTTCACTCTTCTTATCAATGTTTTAATATGAAAGAATTTCAAAGTAGACAAGTTTAACGAGTAATTACTTAGGCAAGAGCAAGCACACTTTCACAAAACATACTCCTAAACATTAAGTCATGAAAGTACATCTACAACCCTTTTGAAGTTTTTTTGAGCCTTATATTTTACAAACCACAAGGGCATACACATTCTTACAATTAAGAAACATTAGTTCAAAGCTTGGCATTTGGACATATAACCTGTGAAAAATCCACATCAATCACTGAAAATAAATGTAACTCTGTTTCCATGAGCCAACCATTTCAATTATTACATGGAAATAAAAAGTAAAATAACAAAAGTAGAAAACATTGTTTATTTGTTCTTCCATCATACTAATAAAAATTTTCTTTCAACGGCAAAGTACATCCATACATGTTGCTTAATATACTGTAGGACATGATAATTAACACGAGATGAATCTTACATTTCATGTAATTTGGCTAACCTTTAATTTCATTGTGCACTTGTTAATACACAGGTTACTCCAGGAATGCAGTAAAATTACCATGCAGTTAATACAATAAATACTGAGAAGAAAATTATTTACAAAGAAAATAAAATATTGATTTATATTTAGGATAAAAGTTACAAACGTGTACAGATTTATCTACATGTACTGAGTACAACATCAACTTCACAAGATCTCAGTTCATAAAGACACAGCAGAAAGTGAGGACCTGTGAGAAAGCAGGAGAGCCCAAGCCTTCACTATAATAAAATATACTGAATTCAACCATCTGCTTTCTCATACCAGGTCCACATTTCTGACGGACTATTAATAATGTCAGATTCTATTGAGGGTTTGCTCCTAGCTCTACATATTACAAAACTTTACACTACACAAAGCTACAGTTATGCGAAATTTTAACCCTCAATTGTACAACACGTGTATAATGTATAAACAAATGATTAATCCCCTATGTCCGGACTGCCAGGACCGAGCTTAAATCACAATGTATTCACCAAGAATGACAACTCTGTGTCGGTTTCACTGAACCGTTCCATGTAAATAAGCCAAGTTATGTTGCTGTCAGATGAGTACGGTGAAATTCTATGAATCTGTGATATGGTGTATACATTTCTGTGTGTTGTCAGAGCTACACTAAAAACTTGATGCTGAAGGTCTCTTATATTTTTCCTTTGCCTTTGGCCTGACCCCTGGGAGGGGTGACTGGTCGGCCTGCGTTTAGTCCGCCATATGGAAATTTCTTTTTGTCTGCAGGTTTAAGTATCTACAAAGATTTCAACAACATTGAAGCTTATTTTATAATAGCAAATATTATGATATAGAAAAAGGAACTTAATACTATTTTGATATATTCCATATTGATATTTTTCATTTTCAAATGTACAATGCCTCATCACTGTTATGAACTGAGTTAAACATGGATCAATTACCTGGAAAGAGCACATGAGTGTCTCATCAACACTCATCATAGCACCTGCATTGTCAAATTCACCACAGTAGTTTGGTGCAGAGAAAAGTGTGACAAGCTGTCGTTTTGCAAAGAATTCATATCCATCCTCTACCACCTATTAAAGGAAAAGACGTTAATAACATGAAACATCCCCAAGGAAATATTTTTCATATTTCACAATTCTTATATTAATACAAACAACATAACAGAATTATAATCCTCATCAAAGTTTTTATAGGAACATTGTAAATCTAGTTCTAAAAACACATCTATAGTATATACATCAGGCAATATGAAATAAAACTGAAAACAAAAACATAATGAACTTACCTGATGAGCTCTACAAATAAGGTCAAGATCATGTTTGTGTAAAAATTTGGCAACAACTTCCGCCCCGAATGTGAAAGACACTCCTCTATCGTTCTCTCCCCATCCCATGGTCTCTTTATCTGGATCAGACCAGAGCAAATCACACAGGAGACCTTGATCAGGAACGTCCGTAGGTCGCATGATTCGTCTGATCTGTTCCATCGACTGTAGGTCTGGACTTAAACCTGTTCGTGAATGTACAATTAATTTCCATTAAATTGGCTATCCTAAGGTCAGAAAAAAAACTGCAACATACACTCGAAAGATTTGCTTTCTGAAGAGAATTATTGAAAGAATTGTTAGGCTATCTAAATTTAATTCCCTGGTTCTCAGGCCAATTTTCTCCAATACAGATGCGGGAGGGCGGCATTTTATTTATCATTTTATTGGTTATAAAGTAGATGAGGGTGGTTATTTTTTTTAATTTTAATTTTCCAATTTTCTTTAACATAAAGATAATTTTTTTAATCACAGATATACTTTCCATTTCTGGTCAAAATTTCTGCTTTATCCATTGCTTAACAGCGTGTAAACATCGTAGGTAATGTCCTCGAATGTATTTTCAAACGAAGTAGCCAAAATCTCATTGCAAATGGCTACCGGAAGTGATATTTGAATACTAAACTACGAAACAAACAGTGATTGGGAAGGCCGAAATGGTCAATGGGACTATGGCGCAACTGTCAACATTTTTGATGGGCCATTTCAAAAATGAATGGGCAATCAATATAATCTGAAGGGCCATTTTAAGAAATAACAAAGTGACAAACAAATATGAAATACAAAAGAAAACACGTTTTTAATTAACCGAATCCGATTTTTATCACATGAAATGCAGTAAATTTAAAGGAACTTTCTTAGAATATAAGTGACCCGTATTTTGTGTTAAAATTACGACAGTTTCTGAAAGGGAAGAGCCCTACCATACAAAGGAATGAAGTATTGTACCTCATGTAAGTGCCTCGTTTAACCGGAAGTACTTTTAAACAGGTTCAACCAATGAAATTTGTTGTTTTAAATTGACTGCATTTAAAACGAAAGTAAAACAAGAAAGAAAGTCGTACACTAAATATTTTCAAATAACATCGCTAAAAATTGAATGCGCACCTCGGCGCCATGATTGGTTGATTTAATGCGCCATTTTTCACTTCAATGCAAATATGGCGCGTGGCGCAAGCCCTTCCCAATCACTGAACAAATGAGGTCGGAATTTTTTTTTCCCCGAGTGGTGTCCGCAATACTAACTTTTTATTTTATCAAAAATACAATAAAATCGGCAATGCGGCTACCTCAAAACGGATGCACGTGGGCCTGAGAACCAGGATTTCAATTTTATATGGCCTTAAAAGTTTAATCTTTAAAATACCTGCATACATATACTCCTGACCTTATTAAAATGTTTGAATATGCATCAGAAATGGAAAATTAGTTGAATTTAAGTTAAACCTACTTTTCCAAAGTTTACAACCTCTTATTACTAACCTCCATGACAACAGAATATTTTTTCGTCAATGATGGCTGCGATGGGTAAACAATTGAAGCAATCTGTGAATGTCTTCCACAACTTGATGTTGTATCGTCTTTTACCTAAAATCAGAAATAACGGATGGTGATTTACAAAGGACATTTCACTTACTTAGTCATTCAGTGATCTTATACATGTTATAGTCCAGTGAATATGGAAAAAGTGTACAATTTAAATACAACAAAACTGAAAAAGCACAGTAAGGTCAGTAACTTAAATGTTGTGAACCAGTTAAAATTTTGTTGCCTTTGAAACTGGCCCCATGAATTGAAATCATTCCACAATATACTCATTAAAACTTCAAATAAATTCACATGGAAAACTTACATTCATCATAAAACCCATAGATTCTGTTGATGCTTGCACATTCATGATTGCCCCTGAGAAGGAAGAAGTTTTCTGGGTATTTGATTTTGTAGGCCAAGAGTAGGCATATTGTCTCCAAGGATTGTTTTCCTCTGTCCACATAGTCCCCTAGGAACAGGTAGTTACTTTCTGGGGGGAATCCTCCATACTCAAACAGACGTAGCAGGTCATAATACTGACCATGGATATCTCCTGTTAAGAACAAACAGAATTGTACTATACAAATGCTTTTTCGCAATAATAAAATAGTTTTCAATCGGACAGGCTTAAGGGCCCTGCCTGTTGTACTTTATTCTACATATTTATGTTTTTAAAATACACTTTAGAATTGGATTCTTTAACCCAATCTCTTGCATAGTAAAAACACTTGGTGCATAACTTCCTATTAAAACAGAAAAGGAACCTTAAAATCAGTCAGCATCAAAATTTTAATTCTCACAATAACGCATTAACTTCTTGATGAAAAGCACTCACCACAAATCTTCAGTGGTGCTTCCAACTCCAGCAATATAGGCTGGCTTAGAAATATTTCCCGTGACTTCAGGCAGAGACCACGGATTTCTGACTCTGTCAGCTGAACATTCTTTCCTGGCCTTGATCCCCTTACTAAACAGATAAAATAGCTTCATATTAGTGAATAAAATCACATTCAAAAGGGTGTGTAACTGTATCCACCAATCACCTATAGGTCTAATATATATATAATTTAATTTTGGTTATAAAGCATCATTTGATCATGTGTTGATTGGATTAAAAAAAACCTGTGTTGCCTATGCCACAATGAATTACGTCAAAAACGTACCAATTCGCTTGACATTACATTTCAAATTTGCTGAATATAAAAAGACGTATTTGAAAGATAATTTGACTTTATTTCAAGTTACATGAAATAAAATATTAAATTACAAGAAATGAGTTCGATAGCTACACAAGTTATACGTCTATAACCTAGGTTGGGGCAGTTTACGCAATTTTTGGAAGCAGTTTATTAGGGATGGGTATTGCCAAAAATTTCGTATCGCGATATATCACAATTTTTTCCCACAATATCAAGATAATATCATGATATTTTTAAAAGCAGTTTTTACAATGATTTTATATGAAAAGTCATTATTTTTCTAAAAAATATGCTAGAAAAACAAAATTTTACTTTCTTGAAATTTTTATGTATATAAAATCAGTTATGTTTGGACTGTAAGATGCCGTTCTTTTCACTTTTTACAACATTTTTTATACTTTCTGTAATTATACTTTGAAAGATTGAACAAATAAATGAATATTTTCTGGACTTTATCAAATGTACCTAAAGACCGGTATTTAGGTCTCCGTATCACGATACGTATCACGCAACAAAAATCGCGATATACTGGTATACCGATAAAATCACACATCCCTACAGTTTATAATGTGTAAGCTGTCCAAACCAAGGATATAAACTTACAGTATAACTTGTGTAGCTATTAAATTCATTCCTTAACATTAATATACAAATCTTTTCAACCGTAACTGGTAGAAACAAAAATATACTAGACACTGAATGTTCACCAAGGCTTTTGATTTTAAGATAACGTGCACAACAATTTCTTTCAGATTGGTAAAAAATTGTGTACATTTAGATTATGCATGTATCTTTATTGATAACAATCCTGTGTCTGCTAATGACCGTTTACTTGCATTTGTCATCCTCAAAGGGTAGGATTATTTAATCAATATATGAGTAACCAATATTATAAAATCCATATGTATAAGTTCCTTTCATAAATGACTACATATCCCATTTTTGTACAGTCAGAAACTATACCCTTGACCCCAAGTTCTATTATCTTTGATCTCAAAACGGTTCCATGTTCGTTCGCCCTAAAAATTGTTCGCCCGATATCCCGTTCGCCCGATTTTTCGTTCGCCCAGAGTCCGCTCGCCCGATTTCTCGTTCGCACAGGGTCCGTTCGCCCAGATTTTATATAGATCCGCTGCTCAGTTCTATAAGGGATCTATTAACGTCTCAGTCCCTTAATTGTTGTCAAAACATAGCCCAATTCGTAAAAACAACACGGGTGTATCCCCCCAATTAACATTGATATTAGTCATCTAATTAACTATAGTGCAAACACTAAATCATTAAAAATTCATTAGAATCAAATCAAAAATTAATTAAGACTAAATAAACATTGTTCCTGGTTTGAGAAAAAATAACCCAAGTTCGTAATGGAAATAAAAAAATATATTTAATCTTTATTTCAAATAATTTAATATATATAAGTAGATATAATTATAATATATAAGTATTGGGCGAAACTTTTATAGGGCGAACAAGATTTTGGGCGAACGGACCCTGCGCGAACGGACTCCCGCGAACAGGTAGATCGGGCGAACGAACCTGTTACCTCTCAAAACAGAGCTGTCATCGTAAAGCAAAAATGCGCAATTTCACAATGAATGAAGATAACGCGAGTTGTAAGACTTATACATGACATATGAATTTTAATATGTTCTTCAACTTCCCACCTGAATTGCAAAAAGCGTTCGTTATAAACTTTTCAGCCGAAAGACTTTCAGTGGATTGTTTGACATATCTAACAACAAAACTTACCTTCCAATAACCTAGCTATAATACTGTCTATATTAAGTTTATCTGTGTCAGCCATAACAAGAATGCCTGAACTGCAATCTCAATATCTTAATCGTCTAAAATGAGCTCAAATAAACCAGATGATGGTGGATTTATTCCGGTTCCCCCCACTAATCAAAACAAGAAAGAAAATGGCGGACGTAACGAAGGATGTTTACGAGATAAGTCGATCATGTTCTATTCGCGCCAGATATATTTTTTTCCAATGAAAATGAAAAGATTTAATTATCTGTTATATTACCAGCCAGATTGATTATATGATATATCTATGTTGTTATTCATCTTTGGAAGATCATGAAATGTATTTCTTGAACTTTCTTTTTTTCATGAAATGGAATAAGCAAAAAAAAGGGGAGGGGGTATAAATGCGATTTTTTAATCATCGACGTACTAAACAATCTCTCAGACAATACCACTCGCCCACCATGCCCACTGGTTTAAGTATTCTTAGTAGTGTGTGCAGATAGTTAAAAGATAAAAATAGAAGAACATGAAGAAAATCTGTCAAAAATTTCGATAGGACGAAAAGGAAAAATATATGGTAATAAAAAATAAAAGTTTGGTTTAAATGACCATCTAAAAAGCTTTTAAACAAATTACCAAGTATCCAATGTACAAAAATAGATAAGAGAAGGTGCAGTATGTGATATGATCAGGAAAAGCGAAAGTGTCCGAATACTTTTTGCACGTCTTACATGTCTCCCGCCGTTTCGAAGGCGGAAGATTACATAGCAACATAGGGACATCACAAAATATAGTGCATTAATGTTTACTTCCACTTCAATGTGTTTGAACAATTTATGATAAAATTAATAAACGCTTAATTGTATGTTTATTATGTTAGTATGCATACACATTAAGTTTAATCCAAGTAACAGCGCAAAATTTCTACATTATGATAACAGAGTGAACGGTCTTCCGCAACTAAAGCATCATGGGAAAATAACAAATGGCTGCCGAGGGCACCTAGCATGGGACCATAAATGTGATGGAGGTCAATAAACCCTTCATGGGTTCATGCGATTTATCGCAGTCCTCCTAGGTTCATTATATACATACATTTCGAAGGTTTTGGTAAATTTTCAATACCTTAACAGCATGGGTATCAAACGGAAAGGTAAGCACTCAGTATCGCAGCTCACGTCCCGTCTTGTAAACAAATGTAAACAGTTGACGATACGAAATTGCAACCCTCGATATATTTTTTAATACAATGCGCTGTTAAAATTACAATGTTTAAAATTGTAAAATTCATTATTGATGCGATTTTTAAATTATTCACTCGAATTTATTTCGAGGTTAGTGTACGTCATATCAAAATTGTTAAAAATAAAGTGTTAAAGAATATTCCATTTTGGAATAACAATGGTAGAGAACGTTCTAAAAAATCTCTTAATTTTAAGATTTCCAAAAAGCTGCTGCATTCATCAACGAGTTCCTGTTGAAACTCAACGAAGATGCAGAGGGATCTGAGTTACGGGACACCCTGAACCTGGCCCTTCTACACATGCAGAAGTACTACCGCATGCTACAAACCAGGTCTCATGAAAAGAATGCAGAAAAGACATTATCACTCTCAGCTAGGGGCTTTAGTCCAATGACCCCTTTTGTTGATGCCCCTGACAAATTTCAGTGGAAATGGGTGAACTTGGACAACCTGAAAAATTTACAAGGAATAATGACAGATGAAAGCATGAACATAACTGCACTGCCTCCAATAATGCAAGCAGTGAAACAGAAAGATTCAGACCTACTAATGGAGCTTGTTCAAGGAGGTATATAAATCACTTATTAAGTTAAGCATTGCTATAGCATGTAAGAGACTGAGTTAGACGGAGTTCTTTTTATGATAAATTTAATGCTTTAATAGGATATGGACAAAGTATATGAATTCTTTTGTGAAGTTTATAATGTATATTTCTCAGATCCTCATTGCATCGATGAACAGGATGGAATAGGAAGGACAGCTTTGTCTTATGCTGTACATTTTCATCAGAATGAAATGCTGAACTATCTCTTGGAAAATCAGGCAGATGTCAATATTACAGGCCATGGTATATAATATACTGAATGAATGATAATTGAAGTTTTTAGATAATCATTATCTACAAAGAACATGGCTAATTGGCCATTTGCAGGATATTGCCCTTATAAATGTACAAATAGTATCTTTTTGGCTCTCCGCCAAAAAAGTACGGAAGTGAACCAAATGAAAGTTTTATTTATAACTTTTATGGAATGAAACCCATAATGTTTTTCTAGATCAATTACTGGAAAATCTAGTAAGATATAAAGATCATTCTTGACCAGAAATGACAGAAGATATTTTATTGAAAGGAACCAATTTCATTTATGTACAGTATGAATAATATATTTAATATTATTTATTCTTGTATCCCTGTTTATAAGTAGATTATTTATATTATTTAGACATGATGATGGTACATGTGTATAACTTTTTTTTACAGATGGCTCCACTGCACTTCACCAGGCCTGTCATGATGCTAACCATGTGGCCCTCAGTTTATTATTACAGTACGGTGGAGATTTTACAATACAAGATAGTCATGGGAGAGCACCCATACACTGGGCAGTCACAACCAAATCCACAGAGTGTTTAAAGGTAGGAAGTAGATCAGGCAAAACAGATTTCAATATACATGTATACTAAAACATTGTTAAATACATACTAACATTCATCTCTAGATGTATGAGAAGGCTAATTATCACTTATCATGACTGATGGAAAATAGAGTTAAGTGTGTGATAGTAAACAATTTAATAAGGAGGTAATGGATCAGATGTCAGGAAAGTCAGCTGCTTTCATTATTTATCATTGAGGTGTTGAGTACAAAATAAGCACAATTTTTCTGTTTTATAACAGTACTTAATACAGCACAATGCTGACGTGAACATCAGGGACAAAGATGGAATAACACCGTGTATGTGGGCGTGTCGGCTAGATCACATCAAACATTTTGAACTGTTGAGTAGCTCTGACAACTTCACGGTGGATGAGGCTGACGGTATCGAGCGAGATCTGAACGGGAGGACCTGGATGCATTGGTCGGTCAGGAGAACCGAACCCCTGGAGTGCCTACAGGTAAACCAAAAACTTCAAAACATTTGTATGTCATTCGTCTAAACAAAGCCTTTTCTTGGGTCTAGTATGAATGCAGGATCCATGATTTCATGCAATCTGATATTGTTTTCTCAGATGAAGTTTTTTTTTAAAATTCTTGACAGTGGTAAATCACATGCTTGTATTTCAAACTAGTTTTCAGCTTTTCAGTAGGCTTTCTAATTATTCATTGCTGAACTTATTTTGATTGCAGACTCTATTGACCTCTGAAACAGCGAAAATAAAAGATGAGAATGGTAAAACAGTTCTGTTGCTGGCTGCAGAGACAGGTATCTTATCACACTCTACTTCAAATTGTTTCAGCAATTAATCTGCCAAATTTACATGTTAGTGTATTTACATATATGTGTTTGTATTAAATTTTATTTGACAAATAAATATTGACTATGAAATATTGCATCACTGAATCTAACGGCATCGCTAAATGAATTATTTTTCTTTGTAATTTGTTTTATTTATTATTTTTTGTTTCTATTCTTTGCTGTAAACTCTATTTCTACATTTATTTAGGTTCCTTACTGGCCTGTAAGATAATTTTAGAGATAGATTGTTTCTTGCTGTAAACTCTTTCTCTACATTTACTTAGGTTCCTTACTGGCCTGTAAGATAATTTTAGAGATAGCGGGACGACAAAGAGTAGTGGACCGTGACAACAACGATCGGTCAGCCTTACACCTGGCTTCTATAAATGGACATGGGGATGTCATTAACCACTTGTTAGACTATGGAGGTAGATTGCAAAGTTTGACACAAAATTAGATTTTTTTTTTTTTTCAGCCAGAAAAATATTTTAAAGCATAACTAATGTAATTATTATTGTGGAAAGTATGAAAAAGGAATTGAATTTAAAGAAAACCCTTAAAGGTGTAAAAAAAAAAAAAGAATGATAATATGACATACACTTGACTGTTTCTACAGCCGATCTGAACTTGCTGGACAAGTTTAATGCCACAGCTTGGGACTATGCCAGGAACAAGCAGCTCCATTACTGTCAGCTGATCATCATGTCACATCAGCGTCAACGCCTCCAGAGCAACCCTAGCACACCCATACCAAACCGTATGGGGCTGTCCATGACCAGTTTTAATGGGTTGGGAAGTGGAGATCTGGATTACGAATATATGATGGTCAGTATAGTTCTAGTCATATTAGCTCATCTGTGCCAAAGGTTCAATCAAATCAGCTTTCCTAATTGAAATTTTGTCCAGTGTCTGTCGTCGTTGTAAAGTTTTCCTATTTTTATCCTCTTCTCCAGAACCACTAGGCTGATTTTGTCCGAAATTGGCAAAGTATCTATGGGTAAAAGGGATTCAAATTTGTTCACTGTCTTCCAGGGAGAAATAATTAAAAAATAGTGAAAAAAATGGGTGGGGTCATTTAAAAACCTTCTAAGGTACCAATGGGCCATAAAATTGAAACATAAACAAGAAAGCTTCTTGTGTTGTGTAGATTTAAATTTGTTCAAATCAAAATACTCGGAAGGAGGAGGGGCCATTATGGGTGAACAAAAAAATACAAGGAAATATATTTGGAGAAAATCTTTCGAAGAAAAAAAAACTTGATATATTTATGTAGAAGCATCCCCGGGTAATGATAATACAATCTGTTAAAATCATGACTTTCTGGGATAGGGTGGGGTCACAATATGTGATATAAGTTCTATATAGTGATACATTGGGGAAAAAAATCTGCTGATGAAGAGCAAAAGGATCATAATTTCTGACGTGAGCATTGTGATCCATGGGCCTCTAGTGTTTGTATTGTTACAATACTTAAAAATTGCTTGCTATTATAGATCATGTAATGTTTTTCTACAGAATTCCCGTCAGAGCACAGATTATAGGACCCCAATTACTCCTCCTCATCCCCCCAAGAGGCCCCGGACCATGTCCACCCCCAGGACCCCCCTCAGGCGCTCCCAGAGTCTCGGCCTGTCAGAACCCAAACAGTCCTCTAACTACCCAGAGGACAACCGCCAGTCAACGAGCGCTGGGGGAGAGTTCCACAACCGACGAAAAGAGAGAATTGAGGTAAGGGGATTATTGCTTCAGTAGAAAATCAAGAGATTTATGGTAGTTGAGAGGACTTCATCTTGTTCAACAGTGACTGTTTCAGGGTACTTGGGGTACACATCTTTGTTATTTTTATTTTGTATATTTGGGCTTAAAGGAAACCTCAAGCAATTCATTCTTCTTTAATATCAATATCCAGTAAGTTGTGATTTGTTTCCTTTCTTTAGGGATTTATGACAGACATGTTAATTTTTTGGCATTACTAAATACAGGTTCAGCTTAATCACCAGAGAAGGGGTTTGATGAATGGAGACGGCCACTCGGTCAATTATGTCCAGCGGGAAGATATCCCCATGATGTCAGATGACGAAGCTGTACAAGGTCAGGTTGTCTTTTGTGAATTTATTTAGCATTGATTGAATTTCGTTTTAAAATCTTGATGTGCAGTTTATACAGTTTTGTAAGTTGAATTTTACATATGATGTAAAGACCGAGGTAATGACATAGTTCTGTGTAGTATGGACTGAGGTAATGACGTAGTTCTGTGTTGTATTTCCAGATGAGGAGGACGTTGATGGCGTCAGTGTCGGGGGGATGGACGTGTCAGACATCGAGGACGAGGACCACGACCACGACAGCATGTCTATGGCCTCCCGACAGACCGGGGGTCACGCTAGTCAGAGGAGCTATAACAGCCAGGGATCATTACAGCCCCGCCCACCCCCCAGATACCCCCACCAACCCAGCCCACCTAAACAACACTACTCCCAGCCACAGGTATACACTACACAGGCATTTAAAATTTATCTTTATATAAGGGGAGGTAACTCCTCCTGTTTGATACAATACATTACAATCAAAAGTAAAAGTATTTCAGTAATTATTTTCCATTTAAGATATCAATTTTTATATTAATTCAGTGATTTGGCCAAGGTAAAAAGAATTTCAAAGCTAGTTAAGAAAATTTCTAACACCTGAATACCAGTAAGGGAAAAATTAATTTGAATCAGGATTTTGAATTTCTGAATATGAGCTTAGAGTGAATGTAGTTCAATATTGAAATAATTTTTCAGGGACCACCTTTCAACAAACCAAGAGAGGAAAATCAAGATGGCTTCCCAATGCAGAGAGTAATGCAACCCAAGCCTCCCCCCAAATTTAACCAGGCAGTGATTGCTCCACACTTTGATCAGTCTGTAAATCTTCAGGAGACTTTCCCTCCAGCTCGCCCCAGACCTGCCCCTCGCCAGGCCCAGATTTACAGACAGCAGCCCCCCAGACCCCCTCCCCCCAGAAGAACTCCCTCACCGGTGAGGCCTAACTCTGGTAACAAAGACCAGGAGAGGGGGAGGTTTAGTCCCGAGAGTCCTGAGCAGAACTTTACAAAGAAGCCCTCGCCTCCTAGTGAGCAGAATAGACCAGACTCAGGAAGCAAACCTCCAGGTATGTCATCTAGATATAAGTTAGATAGGTAAATGATTGTGTGAAGAATTACAAATCTTGCTGTAAAATTTTACTTAGTATTCAGTTATGTTGAGTAGGGTATTTTATTACATATATATATGTCTATGCTAGTGAAAGCATGGCAAGCAAGAACAAGTCGGAATTTGTCAAAAATTGAATTGTCACACTTAAAGAAGAAAAGTTGCTTGTATTTGCTATGTCTTGTTATTTTACAACTTATTTTTACAATAATATTTAAGGTGTGGTGGAAGGCCGTAAAATCCCTCCTCCAATGCTTACCCCACTGGAGAATGCTCCTGTGCCTCCAACCTTTAACTTGTTTGAAAAAAAGGAACAGAAAAAGAAAAAGAAGAGACGAGAAAGGGAAAGAGAAAAAGAAAAGGAAAAAGAAAGAGAGAGAGAAAGTGACATTAAATCTCCACCTATGGACATAGAGCCACCGCGGGGATATGCTGCCCCCCTGCATCCTCCCCCCTCAGCCAGTATACGCTCACAGCGAGCACAGTCAGGAATCCCAGCACCAAGATACTCAAAACAGCAACCTCAGAGGCACGAGTCAAGGTAAGTACACTCAAAACAGCAACCTCTGAGGCATGAGTCAAGGTAAGTACACTCAAAACAGCAACATTAGAGGCACGAGTCAAGGTAAGTACACTCAAAACAGCAACATTAGAGGCACGAGTCAAGGTAAGTACACTCAAAACAGCAACCTCAGAGGCACAAGTCAAGGTAAGTACACTCAAAACAGCAACATCAGAGGCATGAGTCAAGGTTAGGAATCAGTAATATATGGGTCAATATAAAAAAAAAAGCAGCTAAATGGTTCATATGAAAATTGGAGATACAATTAAATATTTCTGTTTCTTTTTTGTATCTAAATTGATAAAGCTGCACACTATTTTGGGACAACATTTAGCAAACATTATTTTTTTCAGAAATTTCTCGGTTATCAAATTGTGTTTTTCTGTCATTGGTGTTACCTTATAAAATTTTGTTGTGTAGAATCAATTAAAAAACTTATGAATGCAAGCCTTGATAAACATGTACTAGGATTATTCAAGTTTACTGATAAGTCCAAAAGTATCATTGTCCAGTGATGAAAATCAAGTTTTCATTCATATTTGGACATTGACATGAGACAAAAATTAAAAGACACACGCTAAACTATGCTGTAAATGTGGTGCCATGTGTGTACAGTTCAAAATAACACAATTTATGACTTTTTTCAAGAAGTGAAATTAGGTAATATAAAGTTATTTCTTACATTTAAACTTATTAAAAGTAAAAAATAACAAGTTTTAGGTTGGTTACTCCACTGACTCAACTGTAACACCAATGATCGAAATTAGTGATACTAATGACTTAGCACTTACGAATTAGCATTTAAACATACTATAACATGAAAATTCATGTGAAAGACAGAATACACTGCATGGCTAACATACAAAAATAAAAAAGTTTCTGGGATTTCATAAAAATGATCTTATAACAAAAAGAAATCTGGTAACACCAGTGACAGAATAGTTAACTTTTATGGTAACACCAATGACTGGTGAAGTAACACCGGTGACAAGAGATATGCAGTGTTGTTAATCATTGGTTTGAAAAAAAGTAATGTTTGTAAGGTAAAAGGGTCTCAATTGTGAAGGATATGATGTTTTAAATCCCACATTCTTTATTAGAGAACTAGTAGATAAAATGTATTAATCAAAATCTCTTGTCACCGGTGTTACTTCACCAGTCATTGGTGTTACCATAGAAGTTAACTATTCGTAGAGAGATTTATACAAACTAAGTTAAACTTGACTAATTTTACTTTACTTAGGTGATAAACTCTGACATTCATGCATGGCCAGTGAATTTTTCAGAAGGGAAAATATATTTTTTGAGCATAAAAAATGTTTTGTCATTGGTGTTACATTTATATGATCTGAAGTTGTCATTGGCATTACCAGATATTTAAAACTTCCTTAACTTTTATACCATAAATTAGGTTTGCAAAGTAGAATACAAATAAATAATTTTTCAATATAAGATCCAAAAGTACTTGTTTTGTCAATGGTGTAACCATTCCTGTCATTGGTGTTAAACTTTAGAAAGTAATGCCAATGACCATAACACCAATGACGTATTAGTCATAAAATGATCTAATATTTCTAATTTACCCTGGATAAAGTAAAAGTTTTGTCAACATTGCTTTTAGTTTCCCTAAAGAATATCTTTCGTAAAAGAGTTTAATGAATATCTAAAATCGTTTTGAAATAACGATGGAAACACCACTGACAAAAAAAGTTTGTATTAGTGTACTTTTTTACTTCTGAAGTCCATTAATATGTTCTGATCATGAATATCAAGGAGCAGTTTCTGTTGTTTTTGATGAGAAGTGATGTAATATGACTTGGGACTGTTTATATTTTCTTATCAGGAATGATAACTCCTTTGTAGCAAAAACAAAAATAGTAACACCAATGACACAACTTTCTTATACAGTCATATTAAATGCTGTATCAGTTAAGTGGAAGGTGGGGCTCATATTTTTTATTCAAAGATATATTCTATTTAACGTTTATTTTATGTATACACGATTTTTCAGACAAAATTTCATATAATTTTTGGTGTAGTTATCCTTATTTGAAGAGAAAAATTCCATTGACAGCATGAATTTGGCTGATTGGTGTGATAAAATCATCCATTGACTTTAATGAAATTAATTATGTGAAAATTTCTATTAGTAAATAGAAAGTACAGATGTCATAGATTGTAAAGCAACAATCCAAAATTGGGAGAAAATAAGAAATAGGATTTTACAAAGAAGTGACACATTTAGCTGCCTATACTCAAAACAGTAACATGGACAGTTAAATTGAAGAGAAGTATTCAACTTTTTTATTTTAGGTATGAAGAGAATGGAGACACCTTTATAATGGACACGCTACAGGATGTCATAATGAAGAGAATGGAGACACCATATTACAGGATGTCATCAATGAGGAGGATGATACAGCGGGGCCCCTTATACCCCCACCCCAGGGGTTCCGAAGTCCTGGTCATGCCCAGGGAAGGGCCCTCTCACAGTCCGTTCCTCAGGTAGGTACACTATTATCACTGTGTGACAATACGTCTTTGTTGAACTTACCTTTGGAGTTATAAATTACTTGTACTGAATTGTTGTAAAATTATCATCAAAATAACTGTTACTAGTGTTGACCCTTGTAGTTAAACAAATCTCTGTGTGTTCTTAGAGCTCTACTAGAGTAGACTGTAGCACTCAATAAGGTGTTGTTTGCTCATGTTTGCTTTAAACAGAATAACAGCTTATCACATTTACTGGAAATAAGTAACATTCAAGCTGCCTTAATGGACATAGAAAAAAGTCTTTTTAGTATTTTTAATATGATATAACTGTACACAGTGACCTACATTGATGTGTTACACTTTGTTTATAAGGATGAAAACATTGCTGAGAAGGCAGTCGAGTAAGTGACCTTGACCTTTGTAATCAAGAGCATGTTAGTGTTGTTGCATGTTATGTGGGAGGGGTCACGTGATGTGATTACAATTAACACTTGTCTGTATCAGTGCTTTATATTACTCAAGTTCAATATCATAGCTGTATACTAAGTCATTAATGCTTTAATAATATATTTAGACTATATCTTATCTTTATTTTAGAATTTAACATACCTGTATATGTCTATTGAAAAAATCTTTCCTCAAGTATATCATAGAAAAAATATACATTTCAAATATTTGCTTTCTGCTTGATAAGTATACAATGTAATTAGCAAAGGTCAAGGGCATAAAAAAGCAACAACAAAAAATCTGATGCAGCAAGGTGAAAAAAAAACCCAAAGGAATGTTGTTAAATTGATTTATCAGCTATTTTCTCAATTCCTCCCACTTGTCTAAAAAAATCATATTAAACAAATTTCTTTTGACTTTGTAATTATTCATAGTTTTTAAATTATTTGGCTTATTAAAAGATTTATAGACTCTTATGAGAGGAATTTGAGAGGAACTTAACAATAGCTTGGAATTTGAGATCTTTAAGATGTGTTCAGTCTAGTGATAAAGAGCACTGATTCCCAACTTTTTTTTGAACAAAATTGACCTTGGTATACAATTAAGTGGTTTAGGCCATGGTTTGATGAAGCTGCTGAGTATTGAATGATATTTATTTTTGGATACTTTGGATATTTTCCAGGACAGCAGAACAGCCAGAATGACCCCGACAAGTGCTAAGCCTCCCATTCCCTCGGGGCGGAGCAGTGGCCGCAGTAGTACATACGGGAAAAGTCCGTCTCCCCACTCCCGTAGATCCCGCCCCCCTACCGGTCGCTCGTGACTGCCCCCTCACCGGCCGCTTGTGACTGACGTGCCTCTCCTATTAGCAGTCATTTTCTAATATTTCCGAAGCATAAGCTAGAGTAGCCAGAAGTCATTACAGCTTCCTGTATACTGTAATCTGTGATATAACCAATGTTCTCAGTTATTTATTGCCAGTCAGAGAATTAGAGAACTTATTTATTGATGAATGATAGATAGAATGGTAGAAACTGTGCAAGAGAGAAGTATTATTTTTACACGATGTCATTTTTTTTGTTTTGATCTTGTGTTATTGAAAATATCTTAATAGGTATTGAATACCTCCTCAAATGATTTTTTTTTTAATACATGTACACCACACATATGGGAAAAGGGAACCTTTGAAATTCTTAGGTTGTAGGCAAAAATATTAAAGACTGTATATACATACTCTGCACTCAACCCCAACAAATAATTCAAATCCACCTTATATTTTGATTACTGTAGAAGTACTTTTTTCCCGCATGGTATTAATTTACGCTATGTAGGGGGTCTCAAATTTTCTGCGGAAATATGTCCCATGGAACTTCATGCTAATATAAGGAGAGTCTTAAGATATCCGTATAATTTTCTATCAGTGGATTGAACAGAAATAGAGATTCCATGGAATTATGACCCCATGAAAAAAAGTATGTCTACAGTATTCAGAAAATGTTAAAATGTTGATGTTTTTTATTTACTGTTAGAAAAATGTGTTATAAATAAGCTATTTTAAGTAAACACATGCATACTATATATCATCAATAATTTATTGTTAATTTGAACTGAACACATTTATAAAAATATATTTATATAATATGCAGTATGTATAGAAATATATTGTATTTTTATCATGATATCCGAGACATTCCGTCCTTTTACCTTTATTTATTTATTTACATGAATTCTAGTTAAGTGTACAATATATGTTTATCTTATTTGGTTGTGTTAAAAATATATGTAGAAACCGTCCATTTATAATTGTATTGATTTTGAGTAAATTTTTTTTTATTTACAAAGTTGATTGTTGCACATGTTAATGAGTCACTTATTTAGATCACTACAATTTGCAATTTTAAGTGAAGAGTTTTCTAAGTTCAGTGTATACTTTGAAGTTTATGGATTTTATAATTCAGTGAACTAGCAGAAATGTAGAAATTTAATAATGTAAGTGCTAATAATGGATTCTTTTAGATATAATTGATCACATAATTATAGACCTTGTTTTCATTAGACAGATAAATTTGTAATGTAATGTATAATCATAAGTAAACAATCTTCATTATTTGAAATTCCAGTTTAAATAATTAAAATTCAAATGACATTTCTGTTTGTATGTCAAGGTCATTACAACTAGACTTGAAATTTCATATTTATTTGATATGCTGTGATATTTTTCTTTCATGTATATTGAAAGTTCAGGTATACCTTTAATCATTAGAATAATACTTTTTCATCAAGCAACGTAAAGGTTACTTTCTGGGTGCTTAGCGACTGTTTCTTACAAGTATATGATGAACCTTTAAACTTCTTCATAGAAATAATAAATTTTTAAATAGTTTTCCATGATGGATTTTCTGGAACATTCCATGGAAGTCGGCTGAATTTGTATAATTTTATTTTAGCTGTAACTGATTTAATTGACCTACTTTCCTCGCAGCTTTCCAGAAATCTTTGTACTTGTTCTGAAATGAAAATTTACTTTAGGAACTTTATCTATTTGTTAAGGTAAAAGGGGAATTCAACCAGTACATCATTCATAATGATTATACTTTTTATCCTCTATTATTTTTTTTCATCAAAAGTTGCACTTATTCTATTTAGTGTCAATCGTTTCAGTGTCTTAGATAGAAAAATGTGTTTTCTTATGATATTTTTATTATTCATTAAAAATTGATTGATTATAATAATTATATTTCTATTAGATAGCAGTTATTGTATAAAAAATATGACTACCAGTGTCGCCCTTTGTATACACTGACTGGTAATAGTTTCTTTGTGGGGGTTCTTTCTGTATAACAAGTAGAATTCAATGCAGTAGTACTCAAAAGAGAAACAAAAGATCAAAGAAAGTCTAATAGGATGTGGGGGTAAATGTTGTTAAATGTTTAACAACAATAATTTCCTGCACAAAGCTGAAAATTGAAGAAAAAAAATTGATACATGTATCATGCACTGATATTTCAGGGATTTTTTTTTTAGCTCTCAGTCTATTTTTTTTTATAATGTAGTTGGCACATTTTTGACCTTTGTGATTTTATCAGCAAGGATCCCATAATGTAATAGTCTTATACCTCTGATATTAATTTGAAAGAAATCCGCCTTGTATCCCTTATATTTGCATCCTCTTTCAATTTGATGTACTAGATAACAGATATATTTTCTAATGATAGATAACTCTTTTTTAGAGAAATAAAAGAGTCTATAAATGCACCAGTAACATTGTTATCTTTTGTTTCAGTCAAACATTATTTAAATTCAAAGGCTACCCAAAATCCAAAGAAAAATGGTTTTCATCATAGCTTCTTGTCATTCATTGTAATTGGATTTCAGTTATTGATAGTAAAAGTAGACTACTAAGAAATTATATATATATTGGCATTTAATTTCAATATATGAAATATTATATTTGGGAAGAGTGCCAAAATAAGGGTGGCCTAAGGAAAACTTCCTGATAAATGAATAAAGCCTGCTCAAGCTGCTAAATATAATTTCTATAGCATTCTAAATTTGATTATTATATGATGGAATAATTTCCCCATCTCTGATTGGCTGAGATCCAACAGTGTTAGAAAAATACTACCTTAAATTGACCTGCACGTGACGTTCGAGGTCAATACAAGGAATTATTGCAGGTCAGTGTCATGAATCATGTGACCTTCCAGGTTAATACAAGTAATTATTGCAGGTCAATACAAGGAACTATTTCTGTTCCATATTTCCTGTAACAATGCGTTTTGGTGAAATTTCTCGTTAAAACTTTCATTTTAAGCAAGCCTTGTAGGAGTTTGCTATCATTTAATCATATAATAAAACAGTTATTGCTGTTTTTGGAGGTCAAAACGATGATTTAGCCACCTTCGAAATACAATATTCCCTTCGGGCTCGGTAAATATTGTACTCCTCAGGTGGCTAAATCATCGTATTGACCTCAAAAACAGCAATAATTGTATAGTATGATATGCTCTAATTTTAATGGTTGTTTTTTTATTTTTATTATTTCCTTGGCGAAGAGAAATGAATGTTTTCAAGATGAAAAAAGAAAATACTAGTAACAGTATTGGAAGAATTGAACACATTTCTAGAAACATGAACCAATATGCATGTACTAACTTTCTGTACTAAGTTTTCTGGGAGTTTCTAAGTTTAAAAACATGATATTGTCAGATGATCTTCATCAAAAATCAGCATACTTTACCAGGAGTTTTGAAATACCGGTATATCAAATTTAAAAAAAAAAATCAGTGTTTTAAGAGAACTCAATTATCCTCGCCATTCAGTTCAAAGGAGTTGAGCATCGATACCAGGAATCACAGAATGGCACAAAGGTCCTTGGGATATTGTGATGGAATGCTGATGGACACTAATTGTGCTCTTGTGTTAGGTGACCTGGCTTGGAGACCATAAACTTAGTGCAGACTTAAGTCAAAATTTCGATTTTGAATAATTTGTTATTCATACATTATCAAAAATATGCAGGTATGTATAATATTTCAACATGTGGTAAAAATACTGTTTTATTATCAAAATTATTTCAAAAATTATATCGATTTGAAATTTTGACACAAGTCTGTTCTGAATTTATGGTCTTGGAGCCTGTTTTTCTAATCCCATGAAGCAGAATTTATTAAAAAATTCTTCAAGAGAAGGGAAAAAAACTTGCTGTCGCGTTCAACTTGCTTCTAACAAGAAAAAAATGGAGCAGAGCAAACATGGACCATTTTTTGGATTTACCTGATGACAAATATTTCAATATATATAAACTACTCAAAGATAGCACAGTTGTACTGAAATAAAAGCAGCAGCTAAGACTAGAAATATGTATATACAGGAGGTTTTGTTCTGCATATAATAATATTGCTAAATAATTAATGAAACCTGATAATTTTTTATCAACTTAAATTTATAAAAAGGATAAAACGATAAAGAAGTCAGCAGCGCACTTTTACAATACTCCTGGCCTTTACTTTTTGATGGAATATAATGGAGATAACGAACAATATTCAAGCTCACATGTCCATAAAACAATACAAAATAGGAGCAGAGCAAACACAGACTTCCAAAACACCAGAGGTGGGATCAGGTGCCATGGAGGAGTGAGCATTCCCTGCCAACCTGTCACACCTGCCGTGTGCTCCTAGTCATGATCGGGAAACAGAAAAATCCGTCGACAGTTCAGTGTGTATTCAATATCCTAACAGTTAGTATGAAAAACGTCAGTCAACATTTGACTTGATAATTAATTGAATTTGCTGACAAGCAAAATTAAAATCAGTCATAGAACTTTCGAAATGATGACTTTAAACGAAACTGCTAATATTCTTGTTTCATAAACGTGCTTGTCAACAATTTACCTCGAGAAAGTGTTCATATGTAGAGCATATGCTCTCGCGTATCGAATGAACTGGGGGATATAAAAACCGTATGGATGTGATGAAGGTTTATTGATGATAAGTAAGGGAAGTTGACGATTGAAAAGTTAAAGTCATCACATTTAATGGCACGCCAAATTCACAAAAATGAGCTAAACCTAGTTTCACAATTGATAAACTAGGTTTATCAACCTAAACTATAGTTAACAAACCGTAAACTATAGTTAACGATTCGTTAAGTATAGTTTTCATTTGTAAAACTATATTCAACGGTTGTTAACTATAGTTTACGAATGCTAATCTAAGTTTATCTGTTTGTAATAAAATGTTACCAATAGATTTTGTTGATAAACATAGATTCACGTCTGTAAACTATAATTTACGATCGTTAACTATAGTTCAGAAATGTAAACCATAGTTTACAAATCGTGAAACTGTATTTATCAGATAATCTATGTTTTGCGATCGCAAATGATTATTTTTGGTGTTAAGTATAGTTAAGTACAGATGTAAAATATATATGGCACGCCAAATCCACGAAAATGAGCAAAACATAGTTTTACAGTCGATAAACTAGGTTTATCGGTTGTAAACTATAGTTTACGGACTGTAAACTATAGTTAACAACGTTAATCTATATTTTACATCTGTAAACCATAGTTAACACGATAATCTATGTTTCACAACCGTAAACTATACTTGACATCGAAAACAATCATTTGTATGGCACGCCAAATCCACAAAAATGAGCAAAACATAGTTTCACAGTCGATAAACTAGGTTTATCGGTTGTAAACTATAGTATACGGACTGTAAACTATCGTTAACAACGTTAATCTATATTTTACATCTGTAAACCATAGTTAACGCGATAATCTATGTTTCACAACCGTAAACTATACTTAACATCGAAAACAATCGTTTGCGATTGCAAAACATAGATTATCTGATAAATACAGTTTCATGATTTGTAAACTATAGTTTACAAACCGTTAACTATAGTTAACGATCTGATAAATATAGTTTCACGATTTGTGAAACTATGATTAACAACTCTTAACTATAGTTTACGATTGTAAACTATAGTTTACAAATGTGAATCTATGTTTATCAACAAAATCTATTGTTAACGCTTTATTCAGACAGATAAACTTAGATTAGCATTCGTAAACTATAGTTAACGATCGTTAAATATAGTTTTACAGATGAAAACAATACTTAACGAATTGTTAACTATACTTAACGAATCGTTAACTATAGTTTACGGTTTGTAAACTATAGTTTACAGTCGATAAACCTAGTTTATCAATTGTGAAACTAGGTTTATCTAATTTTTGTGAATTTGGCGTGCCATGAATATAGATTAACGTTGTTAACTATAGTTTACAGTCCGTAAACTATAGTTTACAACCGATAAACCTAGTTTATCGACTGTGAAACTATGTTTTGCGAATTTTTGTGAATTTGGCGTGCCATACATTATCAACGTGTTTGGTTGTTAGATTACCACTATCGTCTTTTTCAAGTAGAATATCCAAATATGAAACTTTTAAAAATATTTTAAAGCATAACTAATGTAATTATTATTGTGTAAAAGTATGAAAAAGGAATTGAGTTTAAAGAAAACCCTTAAAGGTGTAAAAAAAAAAAAAAAAAAAAAAGAATTGATAATATTTTGGACAGATTCTTCTTCAGATGAATACAGAATAGGTCTGCTAATATCGGAGTGCAATAGGTACCATATTGAAATTCCAATAAAATTTTGGAAGACCTGATCTCCAAAAACCAAATACTAGTAGATACTCAATAATCCTTTTAAATCAACTTCAGAGTACTTGTGTTTACAATCGGAATGTTTGTCAACAAAATAGATGACCACTGAAAAGGTAAGTTTTACAAGTTCCATTTTTATTGAAAAAGCAATTGTCTGTGAGAGATTTCATCTGTTTCTTTTTCCTAGTCGTGACAGGAGGTGGATGATGGATGTGGTCTGTCGTTGGGAATGCTTGCTCTTTAATGGCATCCGATCCCACTTCTGTTATTTTGATAGAGTCCGTGTTGCTATATTACAGATTTAATCAAATTTTACAGATTTTAATAAAATGTTTGCTTAATATCTGTTGCCGTTTCACAATATCTAGATGCTTTATATCATGGTTATGCTTTACACTGAAAGAAAAACCTAGTGAATTTAACTAGTGTGTTTCGTAAAGCAAATTGGTCGTGATTAGTAATCTTTCAGTTTACTGGTTAAGATAGTGAGTTGTGGAGCGGGGTCGTATAGATACTTAGATACCTAGTGAAAGTTACTCATCAATTCTAAATTTACTAGTCTTATCTAGTAAATATACCAATATCTGGTAAAACTACTATTAAGGTAGTGATTGTATGGACAGTGAATCTACTAGTTTTCTTCGTGACATTATCTAGTTATTTTTTTACAGTGCAAACAAAATTTCTGAAACGAGGCAAGCTCTTTACAAATAAGTTTATGTAACAAGGATATCGACAGACTTGTTCTAAAGAAAAAGTTTCGCGGGTTACGTGAATCTTAACTTTGTTGGCAAATACAATCTTCCAACAGGTGGACTAATTAGGTGAAATGTTGACTGGCGTCTGTCATATAAGGCCAGATAAAATTAATCTTTAGATTCTCATCCCCGCCCGCCCCTCTCAAAATGTCCCGCCCCGGAGTTTTTTATTTTGATTTTTGGGTGTTATTAAAGGCATTTTCATGTATTTTTATTCAGTAAGAATTTGGGTGAAGTTTAAGAGTTATCTCCCGTCTGTATTAAAAGTCGCGTGTCGCTATTTATAGCAAAAGAGCCATGTGAAGAATGGAGAAAAATCGGCAATAAAATCAGTTTAATATGTAAGGAAAAGATTATTTGTCAGTATAGAGAAGGCAGAGAAGAAATGATAGCATAAACACATCTAGATACCATCACTGGCATTCATGAGCAAGTTTTTAAAGATTTTGGAAAATGACACCTGGTCAAGTTTAAACGATCTCCAACTGTGTGTGATTTTGATTTGAAAAAAAAATAAAACATCGTAGGCAGGCTTTAGAGAATGTTTAGTGCTAAGAAAATGTTAAATATCAAACCTGTTGAGACGTCATGCATACAAAATTAACTGATATCAGAACCCCACCTCATTTTGTTTTGTGTGTGCCGTACGTATATGTGTACTTGATAATTTGTTAATTAACAATAAATATCTAATAATTTAAGCAAGAATTTTCTTTAAAATATTTAAAATATGAAAAAAATAAAATCTATTCATATTGGCATTAACATAATGAAAAAATGTGTACGAAGAGTCCATGTTTTGTTAATACTTACAATTTAACAATTATAAAAAAATAAAAAATAAAATCCGCCCACCCGCCCTAATTTTTTTGCAAATTAGGATGAGAATCTAAAGATTAATTTTACCTGGCCTAAATTGTTTGGCCATTATTTTTCACATTAATTTTCTATGGCCTTTTCCACTTCCTAATTATCCAAAAAGGTACAAGTAGATCTTTTTTTGTTTCACCCTACTCTAATGGTCGTAATTGGAATAATTTTGAAACTGCACAATTTCAGGATGTTTGCATAAAATTAACATGAGAGTCAAAAGCTGCAGTTCTATGGTAATTTCATAATAATGCATATTCAAATTATTCAAGTCATGGCCATAAGCATGATAAGAATAGGATGGAAGTTTTTGTGTTTATTCAAGTGTGGTTAAGTTATAAACCATTTGGGGCTAAAGAGGAGCCTCACTGACGGTTGAAAATATTGATAGGAATAAATTTTTTATTGTTTTTGCTCCTTTTAATATTGAAGAACAAAAGGCGAGCATCGTGGCCCATTAGCTTCTTGATTATTGAGATCAGCTCTCCACAAAAGCATCCTTCGATAATCTTTATTAATGATTTAATGCGAAAATTAAACCCTATTGATGTTAGCATTCAACCTGTATAGGATCAAAGATACTAAAGGTTTTGTCATATTCTTACCCAACAGGATCAAAGCAATATTTCAAGATGTAGTTGATGTATTTCATAAATATTAATTTCCAGAGCATTCTATTTAGAACTTACGTGTTGAATGTAATAATACTCTTTCTCATAATTTTTTAAAGACCAAAGGTGCATGATAAATCATGTATTAGCAACTGACTTGCGTTTTGCTACTACGCAATTGAATTTAGACTGTCAGCTACAGACGGAGACCACAAGATGGAGACAGTGAAAATAAATGTGGGGGGCTCGGTGTTTGAAACTTTTGCTGTATCTCTCTCTAGATACCCGGAGACATTACTGGGAAGACTTTCACAAAAATCGAAGTTCTACGACAGCACAAGAGAATGCTATTTCTTCGACAGAAATCCTGATACATTCCTGTCGGTTTTGGATCTGTATCGTACGGGCATTTTACACTTTCCTTCGGTCTACTGCAGCACTGTAATCAAACAAGAACTGGATTTCTGGGAACTCTCTCCCAAAATGTTATCAGATTGTTGTCTACAGAAATATATCCAATCCGAGGCCGATATCCAGACGACACAGATGTTGAAGAAGACGTTTGAGGAATATGTACTGGACTATACTGAAGAAGAATGTCGTACAAGTCAAGTGAAGAGGATTCTCCGGAAGATATGGCTGACATTGGAGGAACCTTCATCATCCAGATTAGCTAAGGTGCGCTCTCTCTCTCTCTCTCTCTCTCTCTCTCTCTCTCAGCAATTATACTATTCATGAACACGGTTTTTAATCTATTACACCACTATTGAATCGTTCATTAAATATGTACATGTCTTAAAATTCTTGATATATTTTCTGTCTACTGTAGGTGAAAAAAAAAATCGCTAGGGTGTTTGTAATTTATTTATACGTGAGACAAAACTTTCCAATTTTATTCTTGTAAACTTAATAAATATATAGCTTAATGGAATAGACTGATTAGAAAGTAAAACACAGAAGGCTTAGGGCGGATGTGGATGTCACCTAGCAGCGCATAAGGGCTGTTTGCTCCTTCTTGGCACCATATACCACGTCTGGTTTTCTAAGGATCACTATATTGCCCTGTTCACTCTTTTTGTAATCATTTGAATTTAGGAGTTTGATCACATATCGTTTTTTCTCACATTTTTTCATTCTAAAACAAAAAAAAATTGAAATCAACATTTTAAATACAATGGACATGTAGGTTTTATAATAGAGAACAATATTTAATGGATTCACTATATGAATAATATTTCATTGATAAATATATTTACTTTATGTTTCCAGGCTTTTAACTACGTTTTCCTGGTCCTTGTTCTTGTTTCCACGGTAACGTTTGTGTTAGGTTCACACCCGTCATTCAGGGAACAGAAGCTTACATATGATAGACTCCTTTACCTGACTACAAACGGAAGCATTCGCTTTTTCAAAGAACTCAACTTGAAGAACCCCAAAGAAGTTATGCTTGGAACATCACTTCCTAACGAAGCATTGAGACATTGCGAAATGCTTACGTCCATTTTCTTCACCTTTGAACTAATCTTTCATTTTGTATCTTGTCCAAGAAGAATCAAGTTTTTTCGATCACCGTTAAACGTCATTGATCTTCTCTTGGTGGTTGCCATGTGGTTGACGTCTGCTCTCGAACAAGATCTGGGATATCTGGTGAGGCATTATGAAGCATTGCAATTCTATTTAGTGATCAGGTCTTTAATCATTTTGCGGCTATTTCGGGTGTTTAGATTGATGAAGCTGTTCTCCAGTTTACGAATAATGATGATGTCGATTCGAGCGAGCATTAGAGACCTTCTTCTTCTCTCCTTGACGTTCCTTGTCACTTCATTATTCTTTGCAAGTTTCATCTACTATGCTGAATTTCGTGTGGCAGACACCTTTGAGGATATTTTCATAGGAATATGGTGGTCTGTGATCACAATGACCACCGTGGGATATGGAGACATAGTTCCAAAGTCTACGTTTGGTTACGTTGTTGGAGGAGTTTGTGCATTCTCTGGAATGCTGATTTTGGCCATGCCTGTAGCTATCCTAGCAACAAACTTCAGCGACCTCTACCATAAAAACAAACTGCTACAGATGAAGAAGTTACTTCTAAATCAAAAAGACAAAACTATTCACAAAGTATATTCGGGTGTACATCCAATTCAATACAATGAAAATCACTCAGTTATCAAAACATGTAACTGGTGATGAAGTTATGCAGTAATTTGTATATCTATAATTTGTATATTAAGCAATAAAAAAGACTAACGACAGAAACAATAAAAAAAGTCAAATTTTCTAGATGCCATGTCTCTGTCACGGGGCCAAAAAAACAATAAAGTCATAAAAACAAAGGAAAAAGAGACAGAAACAGAGAAAGCGCTGACTCATGACTAAACTATATTCTTTACAATGTTAACTGTTTAATTTGAAAGTTTATAACAAACTGTACAGAGAAATATTCATATATACCTATATTGAATTTAACATTATTTTAAAGAAGAGGTCATGAATATACAAATTGCCGTTTTCTGAAAGACTAGGCAATCTGGATACAATTTTGTTGTCTGATATGGAAAAAATCCTCCCATTTTCATGACTGCTTTTCTTAATTTTTCATTGGAAATGACAGTTTAAAATATGATTTTTCATCTTGTTACCTTCAAATTATGCCCGAAGCACTTTATTTGACCAAGCCAAAGTAATAAAGTATCATTAAATGAAATTATTTCTTAAATTTGATATATGTAGGAACCTTTTATTTACTAGATCTTGACCTTAATGGTAGTCTAAAAACCAAGCTTTATATGACAAACGAGTCGAGATGACTTTAACTTTTCAATCGTCAACTTCCCTTACTTATGCAGCAATATACCTTCATCATCTGCATACGGGTTTTATATCTCTCAATTGTTTTTTATACGCTAGAGCATGTTCTATGTATTTAGAAGTTGATGAAACAAGAATAATTCAGCAGCCTAGTTTAAAGTCGTAAGTTCTATGGTCGATACAACGACCTTGTCAGTAAATACAGTCTACAATTTATCATGTTGACTGACTTTTTTCATACTGATTGACATTATTTACACACTGAGTTATCCAGGGATTTTCCCGCTATTTCCCGATTATGACAAGGATCGAGCACAAGACGGTTTTGACCACTCAGCAGGGGATGCTCATTCCTCCATGGCACCTGATCCCACATCTGATGTTTTGGAGGTTCATATATGCCCCGCTCCTATTTTGTATTGTTTCATCGCCTTTAGAGCTGGAGTACTGTTCGTTATCTGCATATATTTAATCAGGTGCAAAAGTGCACTGCTGACTTGTCAAGTGTTTTTTTTTTTTTTATTATTATTTATTTTTTGGGGGTGCGTTTTAGAAAATCTTTTAAAAAAATAAATCAATAAAATCAAGATCACATTACCAGAAAATGTTAACACCTGTATGTCTTCAACCTTCCTCAAATAATTATTTTTAAAACATGATGTGACGTCTATGCCCTTTTTTTGTTCTTGCAGTATTTTAAAAATTTATGTTTGAATGCATGCGTCTTAACATCTAGGTAAAAGAAATTACCAGATCTGATAATATTATATCGGACGGCAATGATAACAAAATCGGACAATAGTTAAGAAACAAAAAGAAGAGTGAAATAAAGGTTAAATATGTTCAAAACCAAAAAAAAATGTTAGGAAAAAAAATCAGGAAAAGCAATCGCAATGAAATCAAGTTGCTACAAAATAGCAACTCTATGAACAAATCGAGTTTAAACCTTCCTCAAAATTAATACTTTCCACCTTTTAAAAGTGTTTTTGATACAGCTCTTTCAATAAGCGAATTTAATCCATTTCTGAGAAATAATCGGCAAATCTATTGATTTTATAAAGATTGTTTCCAGATGGCTGCACTTTTAAAACCTGAGAATTTCCATTGTATAAACTTAAACTCCAGGATGAGAATCCCGATTTTTACTTTCCATGGTGATGGTAATAATATCACCAAAAATGAAATCTGTAACAATTTCAATTTATGCACAAAATAAATAAAAATGTTCCAATTTAAAAGGGAAATCATTCACCACAGGACCCCTGTCCTGCTTATCTAAACGACTGTCACTGAATGAATGAAATGAAACAAGAGTTCACTCACTGTTTTTACTGTCTCATTCTTTTGTCTACTTATTCAATTGATGCCTAAACTCCCAATGTGTTATTATCCGACTCCTCCAGGTAACTTTTGGACATTTAAATGGCAATGTTTTAAGTAAGATATATGCCTCATACCGTTCTATATGTAGCAGTAACGGGCCTCAAACAGTCTGATAATTTTACATATAGAACAGTATTTGGCATGTATCCATTACTGACAAAATGTATCATTTTTATGATTTTTACAAATTTAAGTCGATAAAAAATCGTCAGGTTTTATTAATTATTTAGCAAGATTATTATTTGCAGGACAAAACCTCCTATATATTTCTCAATAGTCCTACCTCAATGAACTATATATCATCATTTTACCATGAGGACATTTTTTCAAGAATTAAATAGAACCCGTGTTCATGAAACTGAAATCCAAATAAAGAGTGAAAAAGAGGATTAGGCATATCACCAGAACCTCTTTTCGTTAGCTTGCCAAAAGTGTATTCTCAAAAGCAAAAAAACAAATATGAAACAGATTTGCCAGTCGGACTGTACATTTTGTCTTTTATCATGACTTAAGTAAGATATCGAATCAACGTGTTTAAAAAAAATAAATCTGTTGATAAAATTCCGTTGATATGTTTTCAAGTTGATGGTTAAGAGAGAAACTATTTTCTTTTGTGTGGGATTTAAAAAAAAAATCAACTCTTCCTCGGTTGCTTTATCTTGGATGATTTACATTAATGTTAATTTAGCTGTGTTTATGTTTCCCACTGTGATTCGATGCGCAAGAGCATGCTCTTTCTCCGGACAAGTTCTGAAAGAATACAAAACATTGAAAAACAAGATGTGTTTGTAAAACACTATGCGCCCGGCGGCAACAAATTAAAAAAAAAAACCCATATTTTTAGCATAAAGGTCACAGTGAAGGTCACAAGGTCATTAATCTTGATGTCATTTGAAAGATCTTGATTAGTAGAATATGCATACCAAATATGAAGTCTCTATCTTCCACGGTTCAAAAGTTATGGTGAAGGTTAAAAAAAAGAGCTTTTTTTAGCATATAAGACACAGTCAAGGTCACAAGGTCATTGGTCTTGGTGTCATTTGAAAGATCTTGATTAGTGAAGTATGCATACCAAATATGAAGTATTATTTCCACGGTTCAAAAGTTATGGCGAAGGTTAAAAAAAAGCTATTTTTAGCATATAAGACACAGTCAAGGTCACAAGGTCATTGACCTTGGTGTCATGTGAAAGGGCTTCATTAGTGGAGTAGGCATGCCAAATATTAAGTCTCTATCTTTTATGGTTCAAAAGTTATGGCAAAGGTTAAAGTTTGCAAAAAAAACCCTCTATTTTTAGCATATAGGTCACAGTCAAGGTCACAAGGTCATTGACCCTGGTGTCATTTGAAAGAGCTTTATTAGTGGAGTAGGCATACCAAATATGAAGTCTCTATCATTCATGGTTTAAAAGTTATGGCGAAGGTTAAAGTTTGCAGACAAACAGACAAACAGACAGACAGACAGAAAGACAGGACAAAAACAATATACGCCTCGGATCTTTCGATCCGGGCGCATAACAAGTAAATGAAACTAGAGGTACTGTGAGCAATGAGCTCACTATAATGAACCCCCCCCCCCCCCCGTCTCCCATAATGTCCATTGTTGCTATACATTTGTTTTACGGTAATATGTTTGATTAATACTCAAGGAGCATGTTATCCAGAAGCTTTCTATATATATGACGTATATAAACATATAATGGCAATGTCCATGTTTTGCTATGGGAAACCATAAAATACGTGTGGAATAAAAAAGTAAAATTCTGGTCACGATGGCAATATGTAATAAAGACTATGAAAGTTTCATTAAATTTCATCTGTATATAAGAGGAGTTGCGAAAAAGATTTTCAAAGCGTAACAGATTTTCATCATATTATCATTACGGACAGCCAGACACCTAATCCCGATTACCATATACCCCCACTTTTCAAGCGGGGGGTATAACAAGGCTATCAAGGCTATTGTTTAAAGTCAAAATTCGCAATTCTTTTATCATTGATACAATACCAAAGTATGCAAATTACATCTCATTTATTCGAATGTTGACCAAAGTCTTTCGTACAATTTGTTAAGCCTGATTACGTTCATACTGATTTTTTTTTTTGGATTTCACAATCAACCTGATCATATTGATTTTGCTTGCCTTTTGAGGCACCACTTTTTACACAAAGACAATAATTTGAACAAAAATAAAGTATCTACACTTGTCCAGAGGATGCGCCACATTGATATGATTCACCATGGATTTTCAAATACTCAGAAAATGATTTTACAATTTCTTGCATTTTAAATATTCCCTAATAGAGCCCCGCCCTAACACACAAATATTCCCTGGGAGACCATATATAATTCACAATAATTGGTAAAGAAGCTCTAAACACTAACAGAACCTGCTTGTTGGACCTGGAGAAAAGAATTTCATATAAAGGTGTGCATGTTGAGACTGTTTCATTCATTTATAAAATAGGGTACCTGCCTTATTTATGCAGGAATAATGTTCAAAGACATTGGACTACTTGTGAACAGATATCACTGTTGTTTACTTACCTTAGGAAAATTAATGAAAATACTGAGTTTAATTTTGGTTTTTGGTGCTTATATAACTATAAAAATAATTAAATTATTTAATACTCATTGACTAGAAAAGAATTTTTTCAAACCTACTTCTAAGGACAATCACTAAAGCATTTTCATTACCCTATATAAGCTCTCTAGTGAGCTTCCTTAATATGAACCATTTACAGTTGACACCTATGTTACTACCTCAGTTAAATGTCATACAAATTTCAAATTCTTGCCTTATTGTTCTTTCAAAATAAAACAAATTTAATAACCTATTATGACCATATCCTTTCCCATGTAGGTATGAATTTATTATAATGAACCAGTTTTTTTCTTATTTTCTTTTCTATTGTTTTATGGTTTTTTGATATTGAATACTGTTCGTTTTCTCCTTATGTTTCATTATTAAGTCTTAATGTAGGAGGGAAAACAAAAGTTGTGCAATTGAAAGTGTAGGTTTTCAAACCGTATTTTAACAAATGATTTATGTTTGA